CATCACCGCTACACAAGGTCGCTTCGGGGCTCAAAGGGTGATGCTTAAATCCCCAACAAAAGTCCCTGTAGGGACCCCTTTTGGGGGGTGGTGAAAAGTGGGACGCCTTTCTTCCAAGGGCTCCCCTTGGTGACAGACTGGATTGAAGCACTGCCGCATTGTTGCAGACTTGTTATGATAGAACTCAACCTGGTTTTTTGCAACTGTTTCCTTGTTCCAGCTCAAAATATTGTACCAAAAAGCAAATCTTTCCCTTTTTCCAGCTCAAAATTATGGAGCCCGTACCCCCCCTTTAGCCCCCCCCCTTTAAGCTCAAAGGGCTTCTCTTGCAGGGGAGGCGTAGGAAGCCTTGCGGAAGCCTTGCGGAAGCCTTGGGGAAGCTTGGCACTCGCCCTGCGCATGGCGGGAACACTAGGGAGCCTCTTGGGGAACCGTGAAAAGCTGATTGGACAAGACATACCGCCCAAAGCTGCAAATTAGGCTTCGGGAAGCGTTAGGGAAGGCTTAGGGAAGCCCTAGGGAAGCCCTAGGGAAGCCTTAAGAAACCTTGGGGAAGCATGTTTGCGGAAAGCTTAGGGGGACGCAGCACTTTCAGAAAGAGCAATTCAAATCTCCTATGGTTTCCCTAGGTTAGGGGGACGCAGCAAAGTAACGCAGCTCAAATCTCCGATCAAAATCAATTGGTCTCTTAGGTTCAGATACATCCACTTCCTAACCGCCCTAGGGATAGGACCCAACTACCTTAAGGGGGGGTTACAGGCATTCATTTAAAAAAAAAAAAAAAAAGAAAAAAAAAACTGTACCGAAATGGAAATATTTCCCTTTTTCCAGCTCAAAAGATTGTACCAAACAGTCACCTTTCCCTTTTGCCAGCTCAAAAGATTGTACAACCAAGTGACCAACATGGAGCTGTTTCCAGCAGAAAAAAAGAGAAACAGATCGCTGTTACCAAAAAGGCCGCCGAGGGACAACATGTTCGTGTAGGGCAGCGCGTTCGGGCCCACGCAGCCCAAGGCTGCCACCAGCCGCTCGCGGTGCGCCACATCCTCCGTCTTCAGCTTTTCGGCGATGGCGTCCGTGCACAAAGGCCCCACGCTCCGCAAGGCCGTGCTGGCGGCTTGCTGAACACTCTTGCCTTGCTGCCCGAAACCCATCGAAATTGTCCGAAAGGTTGACCAAGATCCCCGTTCACCCATCTTTCCGTCTTCCCCAAATATGTGTTCTACCATTCTAGCAAAGAGCAAAGTAGCAAAGATATGAGATGTTGCCAAAGGTTGACCCAGATCCAAGTGTTATTCATCCATCTTTCGATCTTCCCAGCAAACTCTTGGTTGCTGTTGACCCGTCTGCAAGGAGTTTAAGCTTTCGTGGGCATGGAAAATCCACAAACTTCCCAAAAGGTCTGAAGTCCACAGATCCAACCAAATCAACCCACCAAGAAATTCGGCGTAGGCGCAAGGATCGTGCAAGCGCTGCACCATGGCATCGATCCAGGGACAGATCGCTTCGTCGCCGCACTGGGCGAGGCCGTGCAAGGCCGCCGCGGTTTGCAAGGCCCTGGGCCCCAGGTCGCCCTCGCCGTCCTCAGCCCCGAAAAACATATGGCCATGGGTCAAAATCCTGGTTAGCCCTCAGTGAACATCCCAATCCCACTAAAATAGGGTGGTGCACCTACCCCGAAATGGTACCATTGGTTTTGACCCACATCCATACTGTGGATGGATAAAATCCGTTCGCACCACTTTAAAACCATGGTTGAAACCCTTGCTTGTTGGTATGGGCAAGGGAATCATCATTCCAGGGATTCTTAGGTGGTGCGAAATGGATTTCGTCCATCCACGGTATGGCTGTGGTCAAAAAGTAGGATAACCCCAAACTGGCACCTTGGTACATGGAACCAAAGACCAAAGCCTGCGTAACCCTGGTTCTTTAGTCCTGAGCTATACTCGTGTGTGTTTTCTCAGATTTTGTGTCAGGTCGGGTTCCCTTTCCCTATAAAACTGCCCAAAAAAGAAAGGGCTCCCCTACTCCGGAGGGAAACCCAAAATCCGCTTCTCGCACCACGGAAGGAAACCCAACAGTGTCTGAGGATTCCCCAATGAAAAGACCAACAAGCAATAGTTCAACCATGGTTTCAAAGTGCAGGATTTGGTCCATCCACAGTACCTGGAGACCCAAAAATAACCCTTAACCATGGGGATGGTGCCCCTAAGGTCGGTAGTTCCCCCATTTGGGGGCAGTTTGAAAGATCCAAATCGAAAAAACAAGTGACCGCCTCATGGCCTGCCGCGACTGGCGGGAGCCCAGTCTGGCGTGTCTTGTTGAGGCTTAGTGGATTTCAACGCGAAGCCGAATGTTTCAAGGAAGCCACACCAGAGGGGGGGTTCTCAAAATGGTGAACCCCTTTGTTGGTTGGTGCTCAAAGGGAAACAAACGTGGGCAATGCATTTTTTTGCGGGGTCCCCTTTGAGAAATTGGATCTTCTTCGCAAGATACACCCGAAGCTTGCCGAAAGTCAATTTGCGTTGATTGCAAGGGTTTGGGCCGCTTTTCTGTTGAAACATAATTGAGCCATTGAATCAACAACCTTCGAATGGGCTTCGCATTTGTGAGAAACAAACTAAAGTCCTTTCTGTTGCTGCTGCTCAGGGAATGAGGGAATGAGGGAATGAGGGAATGACCCCAAAAGCAATCCCTGGTGGTTTCCTTTGAGGGGATCCCCTTCCGCTTCATTCCCCAAGGCCGTCGTTGTTTCTGTCCTGAGAACAAGCCTTGGCTTCGGCGGCCAGCCCTGTTCACCCTCCTTCCCAAGTCCATACTGCCAACATGCTTGGTCTGCGGCCGTTTGGGTGAGGTCGCTTTTGGAACAACCGCCTTCAGGTTCCCTTTCAATGGGTGGATGGGGGTTGATGTTGCTTTCCTTGCGAAAGACAAATCCCGAGAAGACTTGCTGATACTCAGAAGGAATGACCTTCCGTTGGGAATGAACCTGGGGATGCCTAGGAACCCAAATTGGGGCTGGTTCTTCTTGGGGTCATTCCACTTCTCATTCCCTATCGAACCGAACCAGCCGATTGCTCGACTCATAAATGGCCATGGGGTCAAAAGCCCAATCGTGCCCCCAGTGAACATCCCAATCCAACCACTCAAATAGGTTCTAAAATGGGTGGTGAATTCACCTACCCCCAAAATGGGATCCAAAACGGTTTTGACAACCACAGCCCAATTACTCGACTGCCGAACCGAGCATCCGCCGCGGGCATCTTCTGCTCCAAGACGTTCCCCAGCGCCTGCACGCCGGAGCTTCCGAGATGCCCCAGGGACGTGGCCGCAGCGGCCCTCATGGGCGCCTCTCGTGGGAAAAAAAAATCCGCGTGGGATGCCTGGAAAGGGGTGCTTGTGTGTGTGTGTGTGCTGGTTGTGTTGGAATCCGCTGGCAGGGTTTCAGACCATACCAAAAATGGGGCATTCTGACACATAAAACCCCCTGAGCGGGTCCCCTTTTCACCTGGTGTTGCTTCCTCCGAATGCTCGGGGTCCAATCCTTGGCACTCGCGGTTTTCCATCGGACAATCCAATGGGCAGAGGTGGGGTCCCAATGGCTTATCAGTAGTCATTGGGCTTTTATCCCTGTTGCGTGGGATTTCTCCATCCGCACTGCCGCAGTATGGGGGTGTTTTTTTCTTGGACCCACAAAATGGTGGGTGTCCTTTTGATTTTCCCTTCAAAGCCACCAACAAAAGGGTACCCTCTTTTTTGACCCTCGCATTGGAACATGTCACTTTCTGTGACAAAAAGGGCCATCCTTATGACTACTTTATAGGGCCTCAAGCCCATTTCATTCCACAAACATGCATCCCCCATACCACACCACACCCCGAATTTATTTTGGGTCTCAACGATCCATATGTCATGTTGCCAAAAACAAAAAAGGCAAATTACTAGAAATAAAAATGAAAACGTTCAGTGGATCCCAGTTGCCCGCTGTCTTTCTTTTGGTTTTTCAAGATTAGTTTTCTTGGTTACCTACAAAACACGTAACTGCATCCACTGGGAATGGGAAAAATTGAATTCCCAAGTAAGTGCATCGTGGATGAGCTCGGTATCGATAAGCATGTGCAACAATGCTCCCAGAAACATTTGTGGATTCTACGTTCAATTGAAACGAGGCAGGACACCTATCATTAAACCACCAACCCCCGCTGGCAAAGTCCCGCCAAACTACAAGGATTGTGGTCCAATAGGGATCCTTACAATAGAAACACCTGAACATTGCAACTTCTAAATGGTGGAAACCGTTTCCAACTTTATGTTGGTGTTTAGAAAAACCTTTTCCATGTTTCAGATGGTGGCAAAATGCCAAAATATTTTTTAAGGAGCCCTGTCCAAAGACCGTGGATTTTCTTCGATCCTCCCCTTTTATGGCCGGGGCCGGAGCCTTGTGCTGCCGTAAATTTCTTGGCTGGAAGAGGGGGACCCCAGCAAGAAATAGATGTGTGTGTTTTTTTTTGCCTGGTGTCCGTGGAAAACGAAAAGGGAACCCCAAAAAAGTTTAAAAAAACAGGGAAACAAATTCTGGGGAAGAAATGGGTATGTGTCAAAACAGGGGCTTCCTTGTGCTTTCCGTTTGGTGAAAAAAACCCTCCGATTCCATGAGAAAAACTGGGCGGCTAGCAGAGTCCCTTTTTTCCGAACGGCCCTGCATCAGAAACACGGCACCTTGCTTGAATTCTCCCCGAGTCAAACAGCATCTGTGTGTGGGAGCTTTTTTTTACACCAAAGTCGGGGAAACCCAAAGGGAAGCTGCCATTGTTGGGACCCAAAACCACATTTTGGCGAGCCATGCCCCTCGTCTCTGCAGGCCTCGGAGAGATCAAGCAAGCTTTGGGCAATTCGAAGATCACTAACACGAGGGAGATAAGCCTTTGGCATCTCCCCCTATCTCCAAGAAACCTGGGAATTTCCGGTAGAAATCCCTCTGGTTTCTATGAATATCGCTCTCAGTAGCAGCACTGAAATCTTGACATGAAGCGATTTGTGCGCTCCCGTGCCATCCTGGAGGAAAAGAGACGTCCACGCGCTCCCAAGTCCATCGGTCCATCTGTCAAATCTCTTTGAGGTAGACTTAAAATATACTAAAATGGGTGGTGAATTCACCTACCCCAAAATGGTACCATTGGTTTTGACCCACAGCCATATGTATCTAGGGCCACCTAACCCATTTCCATTCTTTCCAGGGATCCTTCTTTCTTTCTAAGCCTCCGGAAACCGTGGGCAAACGGATCGGGTTTTTGATGAAAGAACGATGGTTGAAAGAATGGAAATGGAATCAACCTCTAGAATGGGCGGGTGACTTTTTATCTGGGTTGAGTCTTGGGGAAGGGGCAATCAAACATCACCCTCGGATCCCTGCCCCACAACTGAAGGGGGAGTGGGTCTTTTTTCACTCCCCAAGTCGCAATTGAGCAGGCTAAACACCTGGCGGCGCTTGGCTCCACTCAAATGCTAGAAAGGAATTCATAACGGCCGTACTATAACCCCTGAACTCCAAACCCCTGGTTTTTACATGATGAATAAACCCCTGGTTGCGTCCTCCACTAGGGAGGTTAGAATAAGTTGGTACCCTATTTGTTTGCGTAGTCTAGCAGGGGAACCCTCCCGCAAAAAAGGGGAGAGAAGGGCACTACTGGGGGACCTAGCTATAACCCCTAAACTCTAAACATAGTCTTCACCGAACCTGAAAAAATTGGGCGTTGAGGTCCTCAAGTTCCGTCTCATAGGGCCCCAAAACCCGCAGCTCACTGTTGCTAGATGCTTCAGGTTGGTCTACCCCCAGAAACCTGTTCTCACTTGCCCAAAGGATCTGGAAATTCGCCTCGGCCCGAAAAGGGGCCAAGGGCGCTCAGATATCTTCTGCAAAGAGAACCTCCCCCACCGGGCCGCCCCACCCATGTCGGCTGGCCCAAAATCCTGTCCGGCGGGCCTTGAAATTTTCGGGGTTCGTCGGTCCAGCTCCATGGGTCCATTTTTGTCGAAAATGTGCTGACAATTACGAAAATCACTAACTGATTTTTTGTCCTGAAAAGCATGACCTCCTGCTGGCCAGGCCTGTCTGACGTGTCTAACCCAACCAGCAACCCGCCTGCTGGCCAGGCCTGTCAGCCCAGCCCACCCAGCCTCAGGCCCAAGCTTGTCTGAAACAGGCTTAGCCCAAGCACGGCCCCAAGTCATCCAGCAAGCCCAGCCCAGCCCAGGCCCACTGGGCCGCCCAGCTCCCAGCCCACCAGCACTCAGCCCAGCGTGCTGGCATACTTTGAGACCAGTCTCAGACTGCGCCGAAGGGGCTGGGGCTGCTGGATGACTTGGGGCCAGACGCGAGCAGGAATAGCTTGAGACCAGTCTCAGACACGTGTTGGGATGAGGCCTGGGCTGGGCAGGGTGGGTTGCTGGCTGCCGGGCAGCCGGACTACGGGCTGGGCTGAGCTGTGCTTGGGCGGGTTGCTGGATGGGCAAGGCCTGTTTCATACACACTTGCCTGAGGCTGGGTGGCGAGTTGCTGGCTGGGCTGGGCCTGAGGCCAGTCGCAGACACGTAAGACATGGCTGAGGGACTGGGCCTGAGGCTAGTCTCAGGCTGGCATACTTTGAGACCAGTGTCAGACTGCGCGGGCCTGCTCGATGACTTGGGGCCAGACGCGAGCAGGAGGTCGGCTGGGCTGAGCTGCTTAGCCGGACTGAGACATAGCTGGCGTAGCTTGAGACCAGTCTCAGACACGTGAGACTGGTCGTTGGCCCAGTCCCTCACGTGAAATGGAGGTGCCCAAACACCCAAAGTTGGTCTTGGTTGTTCAGTGACACCAATTATTGTTCCCCTTTTTATGGAGGCCAAGCCCCACTAAAAATGCTCATCCCCAGAAAGAGGTCCTTTCTTTTCCAAGGGCACTGAGCAGCTGAGATAGTCTTGGTTTTGGATTTCAAACCTTCCGAGCAGGACGGCTTCCGAGCATCGAACTAGCACGGGCGAACTGGTGCGGTCACAAGCTTTCAGTAGGATTCGGACCTTCCCAACACTGGATTTCGGTGTTCCTGACCCTTCCCTCAAACTAGGCTGGGCCGAGGCGGGCAACGCGAAGCGTTTACAATAAAAGGTCAACCTTGTGGCGCCACTACAATGGACCAAAAAGGGGAAACCATAAGGTCAGATCATATCTGGTCAGTTCGCTTTGGAGTTTTGTGAGAGCTAGAAAGGGAAGCATTTTTGGAAGTTAGACGTTTCGAAATGTTGGGTGTCCTGGACGGACCATTTTCCTTTAGAGGGACCATTTCAGACCGTGTCCCTCGAACGTCAGGTTCCTTTACTTCCAGTTGCTTAAGCCACCTGGAAAATGTCAAAACATTCCCAGTAGTGATAGATTCCCTTTAAAACCAACAAGGGACAATAATAAACTCTTAAGCAAATGGAAGCCATGTGTCCCGGACCTTTTTGACCCATTTCCTACATGCAACCTTAAGGGATCCTCTTAAATGGAACTGCCCTCAGATCCCCCGCTAGAAGTTTAACTTTTAGCAGGTTCAATGGAACTCCCCACTATGACACCAAAGCACTAAAAAGCTAACAAGCCCAGAACATGGCCGGGAACCACCGAAAGTTCAAAGGGACCATTTCCCGGTTGCAAACTCTGCTCCCCTGCCAAAAGTGTTTCACTTCCAGTGGCTTTTTTTTTAAATAAATAAAAACACCTTTTAGTGGTTTACTACGGAAAACCCCATCTGGCAAAAAAAAAGTTCTTCAGTCCGTTGAAACCTCCCTCGGCACAAAGTGCCCCCCCAAAACGACTTCTTCCCTCGGCTCCCGAGGCTCGGCTCCTCGTGGCCACCTCGCTGGCCTTGGCCGAGATGGCCCGCTCCACCTCGCCGCCGGCGCGGGAGGCGCTCGCTCGATGCGCCGAAGCGAGGTCCCAAGTCGTTTCGCCGGAAGCGAAACCCGGGAGTAGAGTGGCCTACCCGGAACTTCAGCTATTCATTGCGGCTGGTCTACCCGGAACTTCAGCTAGTTATTGCGGCTCGGTATCCCTTAACCTCCATCTGCGCGGGCTTTGAGCTGATTGTGGCTCCTTCTGGGGCTGTGAGGGAACGCAAAGAAACCCGGCAGCAACTTCGGCGACGAAAGGAGTGGGACCAAGGCTGGCTGATTATGTTGATTGCAACTTCTGGGACCCCGAATCGCTCAAACATGGCTGGGATCAAGGTTGGTTGCAAGAGTGGGTTGAACTGTCAAACAACAAACCACAGTTAAACAATAGGTGTTCAAAGATGTCTGAATAGGGTGTCGCAACTGGCTCATCTGGCGGATTGAACCCATCCAGCCGCAAACAGGGTTCCATCAAACGAGACCCCCCTGATATGATCTGCATCATCTTTGCACGTTCAGTGTTGGAACATCCTTCATGCAGTGAACTGCACAGCACCTGTCAAATGGGGGCGGGGAGGCACCCCCCAAAGAAAAAGGTCTTCCTTTTGGCTTCCTGTTAAACCAAGGTGAAAAGGGTACCGAGCCTCCAAAAGCACACCCACCCACGCACGCACGCACGCACCCACCCACCCACCCGCACGCACGGTCAATCTTGCAAGAATCTCAGCCCAGGCGAGGAGCGAAGTTTCGGACCAGCTTTACTCCAAGAACCTTCTCCGCCACCACCACATCCGTGTGGAAATCCTTGATCTTCACCTAGCCCAGGCCCCAGTTCGCAGCGATCAAAATCACTCTTTGCTGAGAAAATGGGCGAGTCCTGAGCTTCCCTGTTTTTTTGCGGGGGAAATTGCGCGAGTCGGTTGCCGGGGAAGTTGAGTAAGTCCCTCACATCCCTCCGAAATGGAGCGTGGACTGCTGGTCATTTCGACCGCACCTCGCACGTCAACTGCAGTCCAAGTGGCATCGACCTCCTCCACATTGAGCCTCAGCATTGCAGTTGCGACTTGTTTCACTGATATGTGCCATGGTCAAACTGCTTGTGGACATTCTGGAAGGCGGACGGGAATGAGGCAGCTTGCACCAGCCCTTTCAACCCGAAGCAGCCAAATGAGCTGTGTATAAAACGACTTCCTCTCCCAGGATGACATGGGAAAACTGGGTGGTCTTAATACTTAACCCCTGGTTTTTGTGGTGACAGTTGGGTGAGCCCCTGCGAAACCCATTTGAGGCATAATCAAAACCTTTTACAAAAATGGTTAACCCAGAACCATGGGAAGAATTAAGAAGGCGGCCGCAACCATTTCTGGTTGGGATTGTCCCTTACTAACCTCCACTTACCCGGGTAGTGATTGTTGTGCGCGGCTGGCCATTGGCCAAGGTGCTCCTTGATCAAGTCCACGGTGACGTCCACTTTGATGGTGCGCTCCGTGGCTGTTGGTAGAATCGCCTGCGAAAAAGACGTTAACCCGCCGTAACCATCCGATACCGGCGTTTGTTTGAGGGTATCGTGTCAACCCTCTACCAAAAAGGAGGTGTTTACCGTGGAAAACCAGGTTTTCCTTAAAGATACCCTAACGAAGTGCGTATTTGGAGTAGGGGGTATTCCATCCCAAAAGGTTCCACCCCCAAGAGGGGTTCATGAAAAGCCACTAGTACCCCTACTTGGGTCAAATATGACACTGCCTCTGGCTTCTAAGTTAGGAAGCCACTACCCCGAAGCCACTTCCACCCAGGTCGGTTTCCTTGCATTTGCAACCACTGAAAGGCCGCCTGTCTTCCAACTTGGGGGTAGTGCAAACCATCAGAAACACTGGCACTGCACTAGCGAACTTTATTTCGACTGTGGACAAAATCCATTTTGCGCCGGTTCCGATGAACGAAGCACATGAAGACTTGGCTGTGGGTCAAAAATGGGTACCTGGCAAATGGAGACATGGACTAAAGCCTGCGGTCCCCTGTAATTTTGACCCATACCCACTTGTTGATAAACCCCCCAGCTGTCGCCGAAAAAGGTGTGGCTTTCATCCGCACTTCGGTCCCAGTCCTTAGCGGTGGGCGATTCCGCGGCATCGGCCACTTTGCTGGCCAGCGACACCATGCCATCCATCACGGATGCGGCCTCAGGTCAAAAACAGACCCCGAAACGCTGGTTTGTTGTGCAACATCACAGGTCACTGGAGTTCCCCTTCAAAAGTTGCAATAAATTTACGAGTGGTGTCCATCGAAAGTGCAACTTTTGGAGGTTCCAAAAACGGACATAGAGACCTGAATATCGCCATCCGAAACCCCGATCCATTGGTCCACCCCTTGCTCGTCCACGCCAGCTTCAACTTTTCGCGTTTCTCTTTGGCGAGGCAAGCGCAGGGCTCCCAGGACCGCTTGGTGACTTCTCACCACGGCAGACTTCTCTTCAAATGGATGTGGCTCAAAATTAAACGATCGGAGGGGCAAACCGCAGGTTTTGGTCCATGTGTCCACTCACCAGGGCAACCCCCTGGTAACCCAGTTTGGAATTCCGGTTTTTTGAGCCGCGGCCCAATGGGTGGGGGTTTTCACCGGTTTCACGGCGTAGCTCCTGGGGATTAGGTTAGTTGAGGTGAGGCTCAGGGGATCGATCCGAGCCGATGGTCTGGCTGAGGGCTGAAATCAGACGGGCGGATCGAACTCTGGCCAACTTAGACAGTTTCGAGCCAGGAATCCAAAGTCCGACTTTTGTTCCAAGGTTTGAGTAGCCTGGGAATCTGCAGACTGAAGAGCCTCTATTTGGCAGGCCTCAGGCGTTGCCACCATGTGCATCGATCATCGACTTGGTCCCCTTTTTGGGGGCGAACCTCAGAAAACCACGAGGGGCTTGCCCATTTCGGGGTAGGCGCAGTTGCGCTTGTCAAATGTTCAAGCAAATGCACCTGCTTGGTCAATGACCATCTCTACCAGCCTCCAGGCCGTCAAATGACACCTTTGGATGGGCAAAAAAACAATTGGCGGATCTTTGGAAGATCAACTTCCAAGTCTGGGAAAGGGAGGATCGTTCAATTTCCGGACTCGACCTAATTTGGCGACTCCGATCCCATGGTGCCCTCTGAAAGGGATCCTAGGCATTTGACGCACGCCCGTTGCCCTTCCGCAAGAGCCATTGATAGATGCCGCTTAAAACTAAAACGGGGAACCAGAAACATATCCTTGAGCAAATGCAAGGAAAGGCATCTCCCTAAGGGGGCTCTTTACAAGGCGGCTTCGGCGGCACCACAGCCCACAAGGTCTTATTGACAGCCCCCAGAGCCGCGCCCCCCCCCCCCCCCCAAATTAGTGGCCTACCATATGTATAGTTGTATATATGTATAAATGTAAAAATGCATATATACGTGTACATATATATATATATACATTAACTTATGCAGATTATACATACATATGTTTACGTGTGCAATATGTGTACATGAGATGTCTTGCAAAAAATATATAATACAATCAAACACCCTGAGATGGCTTGCCAAAAAACCAAATAACAACTTAAAGCGAAAATAAGATAATAGTTAACATTTGACATGAGATGTTTTGCCAACAAAAAAACAAGATAATAGCTAAAAAACCGAAAATGCCCAAAGCGCCGTGGGTATCCCCACGGATTGCGCCCAGCTTCGGCCTCGGCGGCTCCCAACTTCACGGCCCCCGCTTTGGCGCCCTTCACCGCGGCGGCGCTCGCCAGCCGGGTCTCGGAGCGGCGCTTCGGGCGGTCGGGCGCTGCGGGCGGCGAGCCGCCCGCCAAACCCGTTTTTGGGCGGAGCCTCGTGGCTTGTTGCACCAGAAAAAACTGGGAAGGGCTGAGAAAACTACGCGTTTTTTTTTGCTTTTCTCTTTTTTGCTTTTTTTTCTCTTGCAATATATTGCAATAAAAGACGTAGCTTTCTCAACCCTGCCCATTTGTTTCGCCCTCCAAAACCTTGCCCAGTGGAGTCATTTACCTGGCTTTGTAGGTAACCAAGGGGTTTCCATCTTTTAAACACCAAAAGGAGAATTGCTGGTTACCTACTATAGTGGCAAGCAACCACAAAAAATGCAGTTAGTGATCAAACAACACCAAGAAGCGTAGCCTCAAAAAACGACCGTCTCAGAAGGGTACCCCCGTGGGTCGTGTCCTTTGGCAGAAATTGGCCACGGCACAAATTGGGTTTGTCTCAGAAGGTCGCGTTCCTTTAGTTTGCCTTGTGGCCTCAAAAAACAACCATCTTTCTTTGAGGGCACCCAGTCTTGGTCTGTTTCAACACGGAAACCAAAGGAAAACCACGAATATGAGGGGCACCTTCCCCTTGAAAAACTCCTATGATAGGGGCCGATTCCTTTCAAATAGGGGTGTTTTTTGCGACTAAGACCTATTAGACTCTAGGTTTCCTTTTGAGTACCTTTGTTGGGGTGCTCCTATGGGTACGATTGTTTTGTGGGGGGGGGGGTACCCGTTTTGAGGTTTTAAAATTTTGGTGGGTCCCGCCAAAAAAGACACATTCACAGGACAATGCCTTTCTTTGGGAGGTGCCCGTTTTGGGGGTTGGTTTAAAGGGCAATAAGAGGGAAACCTCCCATTTCAGGGTTCCCCTGTGACACATATCCTGATTGTGCCCCTGTGCGGTCATCTTTTGAGGGCAAAAGCAGCGGCCCTGTAAAAAGGTTGTTCCAACTGCAGATACTCCACCTATAAGCTTCTTAGAGCGGGTCCAAACTTGGACTGGTAAGGTACCGCTCGAATGAGAGAGGGTATGCCAAAGATTGCCCGAGAAACTCCCGGCGGGCTGGTCCAAACGTTGAGTTGGGAGATGGCAAAACTGCTCACAGCGATCCATGGACGGCAATTTTCGCAACCTTTCCGGATATCAGCATAGGCCTTTAATCTAGGGTTCGAATTTTGCAAATTTGCCGGGGGGGGGGGGGGCTTCTCAGAATAGATCTAGCCTTTTTTTAATTTTTTTTTCCGGGGGGGGGGGGTTCTCAGCATAGGTGGATCCCAAAAAGATTGCAACGGGTTTCTTTGTGGTTTCCCTTTCAATGCCAATGTTGAGAAACTCCCAGAACCCTGGACCCAGGGATGTCTGTTCCGCCGTTTTTTTGGAATCCCGAGTTCCCGAAGAACGGTGGGAAATCTCAAACAAATATGGGGGTTGATAAGAATTTTCCTCGGGTAACTGTTCCTATTTTGTCCTTAGTATCTTTTGCTGTGGTCATCCCATGAACTGGACGCTTTCATCAGCCTCTTTTTGCATTCCTCCTGCGATGGTCCTCTGGATGAATCCGACATTAACACTACAGATGACCTTTGCGGTAGGGTCAAAAGCCTATAAGATGCTACGAGCACCAACCCTTGACCCAGAGAAAGGGTTGGTGTCCAAATTAAGATGAACCAAAATGGGCGTCAAAATTACAAAAACACATGGACGGTGTCCCTTCCCTTCAAACCCGAAAAGGGTAGCAAGGCTCAGACGTGGCATGGATCGGCCGCCCTGCGACATTTGCGGCGAGTCCGAGCCCAAGTGGCCTTGGTGCCCTCGATCATGCAGGAGGTCCGGAAGATGAGATCGCGCCTCGGGCGCATTGGGCGGGAGGCATGGCGGGAGGCAGGCCAAGATTAGCTAATGAGGGAGAGTGACAGAAGAGGCAGAGAGACAACCAAGAAAGAAAGAAAGAAAGAAAGAAAGGAAGGAAGAAAGAAAGGAAATAAACAAAGAAATAAAGGAAGAAAGAAAGAACGAAAGAAAGAACGAAACAAAGAAGGAGAGAGGGAAGCCAACAAAAAGCCATATGAAAAATGGGAAATGGGGAGGGAAGAGTAGAAAAAGAGGGCCAAGTTGCTTTGCCAATGCGTCGCTTGCGGCCAAGCCACAGAGTAAACTTCAAGGGGCTAAATGTGACAGATGCGCCATCGGTTTTCGTCACCTGGCATCCGTTTCAATCAGAGCGCCCACCATTTTTTCTGTGCTGCATCCCCTCTCTCTCTCCCTCTCTCCCTCTCTGAGTTTCACAAAAAAGGATGTGTCTCTCTTGAGGGTACCCTCTTTCTTCTTGGGTTGGTTCACCGGGAAATCAAAAAGTTGGACGTCACCAGACCTTTTTGTTTCGTCCATCACCTCCAGGAAGGTCACGTGGACCTTGGGATCAATCCTGGCGTCGTCAGATCGGAAGAATAGGCCCAACACCAGAAAGAGTTCAGGCGGACATCCGCACCTGTGGTTGGACATCGGACCTGTGGTTGGGAGTGTCCCTAATCTTCACTTCGGGTTTTGGATTTTGATGGCATGACGAGAGATGGGCCGCTGTTCCGAGGCTCTTCGCCGCTCCACACTCCACAAGCTGCAAGCCAGCTTCCGGGGGAGTCAGTGATGAGCACAAGTACTGCGAAGAGCATCAACAACGACAACGGACACGACGACGACAACAACGCAATGACACCAGCGACAACGAACTACGACCACCAGGCGACAACGACGGCGACGACGCCGATGACGAGCACCACCACCACCACCACCACCACCACCACCACCACCACCACCACCACCACCACCACCACAACCACAACCACAACCACAACCACAACCACAACCACAACCACAACCACAACCACAACCACAACCACAACCACAACCACAACCACAACCACAACCACAACCACAACCACAACCACAACCACAACCACAACCACAACCACAACCACAACAACAACAACAACAACAACAACAACAACAACAACAACAACAACAACAACAACAACAACAACAACAACAACAACAACAACAACAACAACAACAACAACAACAAGGAGCATGACTGGCTTGGTCTGAAGGTGTTGATCAAACCGCCCAAAAGCAAATATGAGCAGCTCTTGGGTGGGAACGTTTGTCATCTGCCTTTGCCAGAAGAAAAGTCTAGTTGGTTGTGTGTCGCAATATGGAAGCCTCAAAATGCATGGGGCAGGGTTTCTTTTTGGTATACCTTTCAAGTCACGCCAGAGGGTACCAACATTCAGGGCTTGCTGGTGGGAATGACCTTCCGGGAATCAACCTACGGCTTCTCTCGGACACCAAAAAGCAGGATGGCTTTTCTTGGGGTCATTCCCTTTATCATTCCCCTAGACCAGCAAGCAAAAGCCTCCGTTTCGGATCCAAAAACGCATGACTCGGCGGCGCCCGGTCCGGTCGCATCCCGCCTCGGGTCCGGCTGCACGACTTTGGTTTGGCCCTCAAGCCTCAGAGCTTCAAGACGCTTTGGACGTCGGCTTTGCGCTTTGGGGAAAACCCAAAAACACGCACCCTGCCGGCCCACCACACACACACAACCCATGCAACAGTTGAAATACACACAACCCTATGCAATTGTTGAACTCGCCCACCTTTTGCGAAGCTGAATTCAGCCATCCCCAAGCAAAGGATTCAATAAGCTTTCTTCACCCCAGAGTCCGCAAGGGTTCTTCATCGAAATAAACCGTGAGTTCGCCACATTGTGGTCAAAACTCCTGTGGGCAATGGGCATGGTCCGCTAGGAACCCATATCATGGTCTGAAATGGCTATGAGCTCCAACAGGGGACCTGAAATGGCGGACTCCCGATTCATGTCCACCAACCACAAGCTCCACCAACCGCTTGTGGTTGGTGGTTCCCTACTAACAATCCAACCAAGCTTGGTGGGGTCCTTTGGTTTCAAGCCTCAAGCGGGTCTCAGAAAAGACGAGCCAATAGCTTCAGTCCCAATACTCCTTTGCCCCGTCGTGTTGAGCCCCGTTTGGGGTTGTAGAGAGAAATCCAAGTTGGAAACCCCACAAGTTTGGGGTTGGCATATCCTTTGAGACCGCACTTATGGCAAGGTGCCGCCTTCTCAGCTCGACCAGGGCCAAGTTCGTGGCGTTTCCTTCGCAGTCGCAAGAAACCGCCGCGCCCATGGCCGCTCGCTCCGTCGCTCGGTCGGCTCGGTGGCTCGGTGGCTCGGTCGCCTGGGCGCACCAAAGCCGCCGCTGCGGCGCGGCAGCTCGCCGCTTGAGCCAAGAAAAGGAGCCGTGCTGCCGAACGAAACACAGCTGGCTGCCACGTGCGTTCCATTTTTGAGCCGTGCTTGTGGTTTAATTTTGACCCACACCCAGCTGAAAGTTCAGACGGTTGGTCGGAAGCCGGAGATAGGAATCTGCGCAAATGAAACCGCCTTTCGAAAGTTGAGCAAACTGAACGTGCAAAGAGTACTTTCGAGACAGAAGACAAGACGGCCCAAAAAATCTGCAGTAGACCCCCATGGAATCGCAGATTTGGCCGAGCTATTTGAACAAGCAAGCATTAAAGGCCTCATTTGGATTGGGACGGCCATGTCCCCTTCTTTCGGGAACTCCAGTCAAAGTGGACCGCTTCACCATTCCCTTCCTACGGCGCCAGGAAAACAGCTCAGGCAAGCCGTTCTTTGTTCTTCCGTTGCGCCAGTTTGCACCTGTTCAAGGGGGAACATGTGTTCGGAAAGCCGTTGTTTTCATTTTGGGGCTCCCAATGTCCATTCCCTTCATTTGGCGCCAGGAACAGGTCAGGCAAGCCATTGTTTTTCTTCCCACTTTTGGGCTCCCAAACATTTTTGCCCCACGCCAGGCCCTGTCAAACCCATCGAAGGCGCCGACCAAACTGCTCGAGGCCTCGGAGTCGCGCAAGCACAGCACCAGCTGCTGCGGCAGACCGGGGCACACCTCCAGCGCCTCGAGCTGCGAGCGGGCGACGCATCCATGCTAACGGCTTAGAACCATCCAAAAGGGGCCATGTACAAAAACAAAAACTGCCTTAAAACCACCCAAAAGGGGGCCATGTTAGAAAAAGAAGAAGAAGCTGTCAATGGGCTTGTTGTTGTTTTTCAGAGTTGGGCCCAAATGTTCAACTTGGGTCAAAGGGAAACCACCATGTATGGGAGTCCAAATCCTTGCGTTGACACATATCTATGCCTTTCGTTTGCACGTCGTTCGTTGATGGTACCCTTTTGAGGTGAGTAAGTGAACAGGAAGACAACAAACTACTGTACTTGGAGGAATCCCCCAATTTGAGTTACAGCCACATAAATATATACACCATATATGCATATATATATATACAACACCACACATTACGTACCTCGGGTACTACCATTCGCCCTTAGCTGCATTAGGTCCACGTCATGTGTTGTTGCAAACGGGCAGTGAGATGCACATGAGCGGCGACCGAACCCGCAAATGGTTGCCCGGTTGCGGCAGCCATCTCCCTCAGTTTTGTCGCTTCTGCGCAACGCCTTGCGCCATTCACAAGATCCCTTGCTCGCAATCGGCCAGTTCCTGTGCTGAGGGGAGTTGGTCCATTAAGGGTCCAGCGGTTGTATCTTTATTACGAGACCCCTGCAAAATTGGCTTTCTCAAAAAAAAGGTACCCTCAAAACATCCCAACCCCAAGTGAACATTTTCAGGGGTCTCAAAACTTTAAAGCCCCATTCAGCTCAGTTTATGGGGTCACGCCTATTTGCGCGATGTGCAACGTTGTGGACAACGCCCTGGGTCTCGGAGGTACCCAAAACCATGGCCTAAGAACACCCTAGTGACTTTCCTTTGAATGCCCTTCTGAGAAACAATCCCAACAAGGATACCCTCCTGTCGTTTCGGGGTCCTGGAAGCCAATGTTCCTTTCAAAGAGAAGTTTCTGGGAATTTCCATGTGCTGATTTGTAGATTTGCTGGCCCAGGATTTGGGCCCCCTCACCCCCGAAACGGACCCTGGCCCGGACCCTGGGCCCCGCCTCCGCGGGTCCCATGAAGGTGAGGCGGCACAGCGCCTCCGCGGCGGCGCGCCGGGTGTTGGCCTCGTCCTGCCGGCGTCCCCCGCGAGATCTCTCACGCGCGAGCGCGCGCGAGCGCGAAGGAAGGAAGCAGGAGGGACGCCTGTTGGGCTTCCCTGCAACAAGCCGGGCTGGAAGTAGATGGCACAAACTTCCCCTAGATCTTCATAAGTGACAACTATGGGGAAAAGAAACTACAATGAAAAGAAACACTAAATGGGGGGCACTTTCACCCCAATGGAGACAAAGGGAAGCCTCAAGAAAAGGCCCACCCGGACTCACTTTGGAGTCGCACCCATGTACCGGCAATGACCAACCATTTGTTCAGGGTCAGAAGGAGAACCCTCCAAGAAAAAGACACACACTTCCAGACCCCCACTTTGGAGTCGCACCCATGTAGACACCGCGCCAAACCCCCCAAAACAAACACGCCGACCGCTTCTCTCCTGGAGGCATCTCGCCAAGGACGGCAGCTCCTCGATGGCCGACCGCCAGTCTGCCATGCGCCCCAGCGCCTCGCAAATCACCTGACGACGGCATGTCCATGATCCCTCTTTGGGGAGCCTGCAAAAGCTTAACTTTTCCTGGTTGAAACGGACACTGGAACACCAAACTTGGCTGGAATTAGGACCCCAGCAAAAAACCATAACTTGTTTGCCTGGTCAGTGGAAAACAAAAGGACCCCAAAAAAGCAAAAAGAGCAAAAAGGGGAGCTAATTCTGGGGAAGGTCACTTCGGCTTCTCTCCCACCGAACGAAGTTGGGGCGGGCAAAAAACCGACCCGATGCAGCGGTTACAACAGAAAATTGGCGAAAAAGCCTTCCTCAAAACTGACCCAACCGAATTTCACGGAGTTTGCAGCAGTTCCTTCACTGAGTTGGGGTGTTGCAGCGTTACAACAGGAAAATGGCACAAACCTCCCTTCATGGCGGTGAGAGGCGTCCGCCTCAATTTCAAACTGGGGTGGAAACAAGCGTGCCACCCATTGTTCATTGTTGCCCAGTGAAATGAAATGGGTTGCCCAGGAGGGGCTCACCAAATTCCATGGTAGCTTATAGTCATGGTTGCAAGTGGATTGGTTGCAATTGGGTTGGTTGATTCATGGTTGTTACAAACCTGGTTACTAAGTAGGATAAACATCCAAGTTAACCCCTGCAAACACTACTCCCCTGCAAACTAGCATCGCTTGCCCACATTTTGGGCCCCCTTTCCCAAAAAAGGGGATGCCCAAAACCAAAAGCGAGGGCTTTTCAGGTTACCCATGAAGTGAAAGGTGGGCTGAACCAAAAACCCAGCCCTCACGGATCGAAGGGGTGCGACTTTCAATTAAGGAGCCTCTGGTGTATGTCCACCACCACAAGAAGGCCATGTTTCATGATTCAAGATACCCAAACACCACCCGGCCATGGATCGGGCGACCAACAAGCGGGTCCTGCGACAATGGTCGGGCAACCCTCCAAGGACCCGAGGGACCACGCTTTTGACCGGCAGGGCTTGCCCCAAAACAGCCAAAGGCGTAGAGGTGTCCTTTTTTGGAAAAGTCTCGCGGGGTTTTACTGGTAGATGGGGAATCAAACCCATCTAAGCCAGTGGGACCCATCTAGATTTAATCAAGCTAACCCCAAACAACCGCCTATGGTGAGAACGCGCCCCTTGCTGGGAGAGAGAAGAACCAGAGAGGGGGCGGGGGCTTACAAGGGGCGAATGATCAAAACCTTGCAGCTGCCAAGTGCTCTCGACCCCGCCATGGCCTGCTGCTCAAGCTCGGATCTTCCGCCTTGTAGCCCAGATGCAAGGGCGACTGCCTCGGCTGGGTTGCAGCGCTCAAGTGCTGTTTGTTTTGTTGCTTATTGCTTGTTGTTTTTCTCTCGTTTTTTTCCCTTTTTATATATGAGGCTCGGTATCCTTCTTGGGGTTGGTTTTAACAAAGCAAGATCAAGCCAACCATTCTGGGTCCACATCCCTGTTTTGACGAGCCATATCGCAGGCCAGGTGACAAACAAATTTGAACAAACCAAGCAGTGTGCACCAAACGACTGTATGTATACATGAGCCACGAGCCCACGTTCAAGATATGCGGCATCCGTAAAGGACACTTCGGTGAGTCCCCTGCTTTGTCGCAGGACATTTAGAGCTCGTCCCCCAATGCCTCTCGCAAACGGACCATCCTGGGTATGTTGACCAAACCTCTTATGTTGCAAAGGAAGCACCCGTATACTATACCCCTCTTGTCCCATGTTCCGTTCAAAACAGGTTGGATAAGGTCAGAATTTTTTTTTGCGTCGACAGGCGAAACCAGGAATGGTCAGGCCGTCATTTAAAATGCATCCGTGTGGAAACATCGCCAACAAGCCCATACGGCGCAAAAAAATGCTCTGCATGTTCACACGACTATGTTTTGAAATCAAGAACACCAACAAACTAGATCAAGTTAGTGGAACTTCCTTCCACCCTTTTAATCAAGGGCCCTCAAAACTGGGTTACTAGAAAAAACAACGAGGACCTCCCTAACCAAAAGACGGCGGCTTTCGTTTGGCTTCCCCTTGAAGAAAAAACCCTCAAGAACTGGCCTCACTATGTTACCATGATCCGAATCCATTTTCTGACTTTGAGAACCAACCGTCAAAAGAATCACACCAAAAGAAGGGCACCAACCCAACCCAGCCCAGCCCAACCCCACCCGTCCGCCCGTCCAGCTCGGCTGAGTGCCGCGCCCCGGGCTTGCCCATCCTCGCCAGCGCCACCGCGGTGGCCGCGAAGACCGTCGGCTCCGGATCCTGGATCAATCCACCGGAAAGCGGAGTCGCCAGTTGGAGAAGGCGGCGGTGGTCAGAACCGTCTTGGGATGCCATTTTGGGGGGTTTTCGGTGCACCACCAAAACCCGGTTTTGGGATCCCATTTTGGGGTTTGCGGTGAATTCACCACCCGTTTTAGAACCTGTTTTAGTGGTTGGAGTGGATTGGGATGTTCACTGGGGGCTAACCGATTCGGATTTTGACCCATGGCCAGGTGACCTGCTCTGACCCGCAACGCCGTGACGGTTTCCCACATCCCAGGAGTCCCAGTGGATCCCAGTTGCCATGGGTGACCAGCGATTCTCCTTTGGGTCTTTCACCGGTGGTTTTCCATGGTCACGGCAAATGGATCCACCGGGAGTAACTCGAATCTCTCAAAATGCAGCTGACGCGCCACTGGTCTGCTTTCAGGGGAAATAGATGGGTTTCCCTGATAGATTCGATTAAACCACCAGGTAAACCAGGAATCGCCATCTATTTTTCTACCGAAACAACCAAAAAGGACACCTATGCACTGACGCGTTTGACCCCGCACTGGTCCAGCCCCGGAAGCTCTCTCCAAGGCGCCTGAAATCGCTTCGCGACGACCGCGGCATGAGAGGGGTGAGCGTTCTCGCCAATGTGGCCTCGACCGGATTGTCAGCGGGCCGATGGAAGCGGGCCGATGGAAACGGGCGCCACAAAAAGAGTCAACAAACTCAGGTGGGTCACCATCAACACCTGGCTAGTAAGGAACCAGTCATTGTCCGACAGCTTGAAAAGCTTGAAGGTCATACCAAAGTGCGACCAAAAGACCTCATGGTATCTACCCGGAACCATGCAAAGAATCAAAAGGGCGGATATCCGCAATGTCTGGTGGGAACTATCCCTTACCGTCCCTCCGAGACTAATGGGCAGCCGTCCCTACCGTGCGTGGACGAATTGACAACATCCGCTTGGAACCAGTTGGTTGGGAGCGGCGTAAATTTGGGGCTCGCCCTAAAAAACGTAACTCGGGTTTGTCTTAAACTAGGGGAACTCACAAATTCTGGTCTTCCTCTTTTTTTCTTGGCTTCGAAGCCTTCAAGACGACCACAAAACGAAAACCCTCAAAGAAAGACAGCCAAAAACCACTCCCCAGTTCTCAAGCTTGTCTCGGGTCGAGCCCAGAAAGTCGCACAGCGCCAAAGCCGCCCGCCGCCCGCCGCGCCTAGGACGATCACGGTCCTTTGTCGAACCGCCGCCTCTGAGCTCCTCGGAGCAGAGGCCAGATGGGCTTCACGACCCCCCGAAGCACTGGAGTCTAGAGTCAGAGCTAGGCAACTTGAGCTAGGGATTCTTCCCCCATGGCTTTTCTGAAAAGCATCCTTCTTTTACCAGCAACCACATTTTCCAGGGATTTATGGTGGCTTTGTGAAAAGAAGGATCCCTTGAAAGTGCTAGAATACGACGACTCGACAAATCAGCCAAGAGTCTGAAGATGCAGCTCCAAGGCATCCTTGTACTTGCAGGACTCTTTGCCATCCTGCGCGTGTCTGTTTGAGCATGCTGGTTCTTGCTCCGTGTTGAGGGGAACCAAAGGGAAACAACAACCCACTTTGGGCGTCCCCTATTTCAACACACGCCGAAGAGTAAGCCAAAGTCGTTCTCTGGCGGAGGTGTTCGCTCCAAAGGCGGAGGTGCACTCCTGATGGGAATCTGCCGTCATTGGGCGCTGCCCATCAGCATTTTGCTTCGCAAAGGCAAGAATCTGCGCGACGAAAGCTGAAAGCTGTCCGTCCACTGCCGTGCTAGCAGAATCTGAGAGGCGCTGTTCTTCGAGTTGGAAAAAGGAACTGGAGAAAAGAAACACATGGCTTTTGGTGCTGGGGACAGCTATTTGAAAAAAAAAGAGCATGGGCTATTGATCGCGCCCAGTGTTCTGCTTGAGGCTCTGCAAGACCTCCTTCCTGGCAGTGTTTTGGCTTAAGGCTTCGCAACTGGGCCCCAATGATATTCCTGGAGCTGGACATGGGGCGGAGGCCAATCTCAGGCGCACGCTGACGAACCAGACGTCCATTCGTGGATTGCGAACCAGACGTCCATTCGTGGATTGCGCCCTCCCAAGATAGGTAGACTCGAACTCAGGGGGGGAGAGGGGGGGGGGGAGGAGGGGGGAGGGGGGGAGGGGGGGGGAGGAGGGGGGGGGAGGAGGGGGCGGGAGGAGGGGGGGGAGAGGAGGGGGGGGGGGGGAGATTTCCCCTCTAAGAAAAGGCAGTTTCCCCTTCAAACAAGGGTGCTTTTAGCCAACTAATGCAATCGCGCTTCGCCCAGGTCCCCCGGTCCCTTAAGGTCCCGTTTCAAGTTCACCTTGCCCTTCTCTAGGCTGCCCTCAGATCCCCTACTCAAAGTTCACCTTCTAGTGGGATTCAAACAAGACAACCACCACTTAAACCAACCAAAAAAACAACACATCCAAGTCGAACCCAGACAATTCAACCGGCACCCGCCCCCATCTCTTTTTCTCCATGTAGCAAAAGCTTTGGCCCTCGAAACCTCTGACACCGGCCGCGCCAGCGAAACCGAAGCCGAAGCCGGTTTCGAGCGCGCGAGCGGCCGCCGCGAGCTTTTTGGGGTTTTCAGGTCTCGAAAGCGCTGAGCTGCTGAGGCAGCACCCGGGGCACGAGTTGCGTCGGCGCCGCAAGTCCTGGTCGGGGTAGCCTCCTGTCCACGAAATCCTGGAAGATGATTTCTTCCTTTAAAAGGCACCCTGAGGTGGGTTCCACGTTCATGGACAGGAGGGACCCCCATGTTTGGTTCAAGGGGAGTTGTCAAGAGGCTCGTTGTAATCCGCAAATAAGAACATGGACCCACAAACCAGCCTGAAGAAAATGACACCACCCCCACAAACTCCACAGGGGGTGGGGGGGGGTTGCGGAGCTTGGAGGAATGGGGATCGCGGAAGATGCCCTCGTCTGAGGTACCTCCAATCCTCTGACGGAACCTGATCGTGAGTCACGGAAGACCGTCGCCGAGGTCGGGGACAAGATCTGTCCGGTTGAAGGAAGCCCCGAAACGTCCGCTTCCAGTGTTGGAAAGCGGCTATTTTTGTTTTAGGGAAAGCACAAGGAAACTTTGCTCCGCCATTGTAGGAAATGCCAAAGGATTATTTGGAGAAACACCAAAGGCAGGGTTGGGCAAAACTCTCTGTGGACAGCTATTGTCATGCGACAAGACACGGAATTTGTGTGAACCATCCGAAAGTCGCGGAGCTCCGGTCTTTCGCATGCTCTTCAATACCAAGACTCCAGAGATGAAGGCTTCTGGGCACGAGCCTCGTCTCCCCAAAAATAACATGCCATCTGATTCGGCTCAGTTTTGATGTCTGTGCTCGAACCGCAAAAACCCCTGCTTCTCCCCCAAAACTTGGGAAAAGGTTTCGGACAACAAAAAGAAGAAACCAAGCGCCAAATCTGCTGTCCCCCCAGGTCTTGAATTTGGAGCAAACATAACTTCCAGTAGTCAGTACAATTCACGAACCTGACATTGAGGAACCACAACGCAAGCTCGTTTTGAACCCCGCCCCCTCCCCAGGTGAGTTCGTGCTGCCTTGTGCTGATTGATTTCTCACTTCCCAACAAATCCAACGAAATCCAACCATTCATCCGGCTCCACCGCACAAAGTGGCTATCCCCTTCAGAGAACATCACAAGCCACGCGCATCTCTTGACTGAGTGAGAGCAAAGGGAGCCGGAAGGTTGAGGACCTTAATCCGTACCCTCTTTCCAACAATCATGGAAGTGCACAAAGGGGTTCCCCAAAAGGAATATAGTCTTCCAAAGCTCTCCTGTCAACTTCCATGATTGTTGGAGGGAGGGTAACTACTGGATGCTTCTCAAAATTAAGGATCCAGGCCTCCAGGTGGTTGGTTTCCTTTGCCTTCTATTCAAGCCACTGCAACTGGCGGTCCATGATGTTGAGAACGCCCTATTTATCTCGGTTGCAAACTCTGCTCCCCTGCTAAAAGTTCAACTTTCAGTGGCTTAATGGAAAACCCAGTAGTTGACAAAAAGTTAAAGTCCCAACATCCAAGCAAAATGCACCAAAGTTATTATGGTGCAAGTGTCACTCTTGCTACACTGAGTCGTATGACTCACCAGCCCCCGCTCCTCTTCGAGGTGGCGTGCCGTTCATGTTGCGTTCATTGACTAAAGGCGGCGTCTTGCTGCGCTGCTTCGCCTTGGCCTTGGGCTCCGGCTCGCCTTGGAGTCGCTGCAAAAAAGCGTTTTGGCAGACGGCTGAAAACCACAAGCTGTGCTTTATGAGTTGCTGGGTTTTCTGGGGGGGGTGTGAGGGCGTATTTCTGTTGCCTGCACATGGCCATGTATACGAGAGCGCCATAGAAACATGTGGCCAGCAGAGTTTGTATGACTTCCCTGGAAGATGGGAAACCCCACAGGTTGTGGGTACACCCGCAAAAGCAAAGACTCGGCACCGGCAAACTAATAAATCCAAGATACAAGGCAAGCCCGCCTGAAGCCGTGGTTGACAAGTCAACTCCGCAAAAGGCCAAAAGGCCAGCTTGCGCCACCAAAAGACATGTGTCAAAACGTCCGGATTGCCCTCTGGTTTTTTATGGTTGAATTTAGAGAGTCCGTGTCCAGAATTCTTCATGATAGACTATTTGAGCCAAGGATAAGGGAACCCCAAAAATGGGCAGCGTGCCTGTGATTCCGCTTTAACTCAGCTGTCAAAAACGGGTACCAGCTCTAAGCAACGTGAAATTGACCAATTTGGGCCGCACGCCTGTGCGCGCTCACCAAATCAACCCCGCACCTGTCGGGTTGCAACATGTTGGGTTGTTTCCCTCTCCGGAGCTTAATATTTTTTCCAGGTTCCGCGGGCTCTGGTTGCCACTTCAACTCCCAAAGCCCAAATGGACAAACAGATCAGAACTTCACTTCGATCTTCCAAGAACATCACCGACATTCCATCGCCATTTTCGCCTTTTTTTGTGACTCTAAATCTGGGACACCCCCCATGTGGATGGGAACCCATGTCTGACGTGCCCAACAGGTGTCCCTTCCGGCCATCTCCATGCCCGCACGCCGCCTTCGCGCTGGGAGCCTCAAAGGGCACCACTCGCGGCTGCGGCGCCTCGAAGGGCACAAACCTGGCGGAACGGTTCCGCGGAGGCGCAAAAATCCGCAGCGACGGGTGCCACGCCGGGCCCAGCATGGACCATGCTTCTGGTATGGGTTTGTTTTATGTGTGTATATATATATATATATAGATATATACTTGTTCTAGAGGTTGTTTTTTGCCTGCCTCCAGGTGCGAATGGTGCCCTGTTGGTGTCCCTGTAACATCTCTATTGGAAGGTGCTTGCACGTGGGTTCACGATGGAGATAGCCTCAAACATACAGTTCCCGCTTCAAACGAACAAACCGAGAAATTTAAGGAACCCTGTTCAAACCCCAAAAGGACACAACGAAGGGGATTTCCAGACAACACTGAGTGGGTATCGACGAACCAAAAGAACACAAGGAACGACACCCAAAAACAGGATGGATTAATCGGCCGCCAAACGAGCAGATCCGGTTTTGGGTCGGGCGAAAAGGGCTGTGCGACTGCCCAAAAGTGAAAGATCCCCGACTCTCCCAAATGGGACACCGCCCCCCACCCCCATTCGTCCAGGCGAGGATATCTGGGACATCAGGCTTCATACGTGCCATGGTCAGAACTGTCCCATGTGGCCCATGGTCATTAAGGATCCTTTCCAGGTGGATGACCATCACTCTCGAGCCCAAGAAAAGGAACTGGTCTTTACATGGCACAGATGGTGCCATCTGCTGGGTTCATGAAAGTGACCTTTCTAAAAGTATCCTCAAGTGAGAGGCAGCCCCTAATCCCTTTGGAAGCCTTTGAAGGTCGCTCAGCCGACCCACCAGTCCTTTCCGGTCGAAAACAGGTCACCTTTTCCACCCACCACAACTAGACATGACACATTACGCGGGCTGTCCTTGTTCCAACGGCATGAATTGGGGAATCAATGGAGCAACCAGCCCAGTGGTGTCTCAGAAACTAATCACATGGGTGCTTGTCAAAGGAACCCCTGCGCATTGATGAAGTGAAGATGACAGAGCGTGCCAGTTCCGTTTGCTCTGACTGGACATCACATGCCGATCACGTCTCGTTGTTGCTTTTGTTGGCACCTTTTGGTAGCGAACGAGAAACCGAAACCCGTTTTGCAGGGAGAAAGTCGGTCTCAGGAGCCAGCTGCGCAGGAAGGTCGACAGGCGGCCCAGCCACCTTTGCAAGAGCAATGCTTGTCTTGCAGTCACAGGAAAGGCTCCGACTCAACCTGGGACCTTCTGGTTTCCCCGGTGAGTTTGGACCATTCTGCACAGGTCTCCTTGAAGGGTCGTGTCAAATCGGGGTCGACACTATACCAAACAAGAGCGATGTTTAGCATCACCCAGCCAGGTATATGGCCCAGCAAAGGTAGCATGAAAAACAGACCCTTTCCCAGGGATCCTTACATTATACACCTGAACATTGCAACTTGTAAATGGTGGTGTCCAACTTGATTTTGTCGAAAAATAAAAGAGTTGCAACATGCTTCAAATGGTTGCAGTTGCAAAATGGAGATCTTTTTTGAGCCCTGTTTCCCTTCCAAGCCTCCCATGTCCGACCGATCCACTCGAAAGCCTTGCCCGAGCTGCTGACGGCCTTCTGGCTAGGCCCATGGAAGGGAGCCTCGATCGATTTTCCGGGCCGTCGGTTTTTTTTTTGGGTGTGTCGTTTTTTTAGGGGGACCCCAAAAATTATCTCTTTCCTTTTAAGGCTTCCCTTTGAAACCACGAAAAACACACGTGGAAAAAAAGAGCCACACGCATATGTCCCTTGATGTTGAAAAAAAAACACCCAAAAAAGGGATGTATAGACCCTGGTCTTCCGTCGATCTGGCTGGTTTGGGCCTGTTTTTTGCTTAAGGAACCCTGTGGTAGGTTCCAGGTAGATGCGAGGGTGCTCCTTCATGAACCTTGCTGAAGCAGCACGTCTATACCAAACACATGGTCATAGTGCCATCAAATTGAATCCTTATCATTCTCATTGGCTCTAAATTCCTTGAGGCGTGCATGATCATTCCTACCACCCCCAAGTAAAGGGGTGGGTGTCGAGCACGGCGCAAATGAGGAGCGCCCAACACCCGTTGAACTTGTTTGGCCCACCAGCATGAGGAGTAAGGTGAATATAGGCCAGGGATGTATAGGCCATGATGATTAAGGTATATATATATATAGGCCTGGGCCTTCATGTACTGTATGGCGCCTGCCCTGTAGGCTTTCTGTATAAACCGCTAGGTGAAACCAGGAAGGACCTGAAGCGCCCCGTGGCCCTGGAAGCTTTGACGGCTCGCGACCTGCCACTGACCTCTTGACATCTCTTAACTTCCACTTGGTTAAGGCCCCATGAAAAAATGAAAAAATATGTCCAGTAGTGATGAAATCCTAAACAAAAACCAACAAGGGGGAAAACAATCTTAAGCAACTGGAGGTTGAGGCCCCAGCGCCGGACTTCATCTGCCCATCCAAGCCGTGGCGAGGCTCATCTGGGCTCAAGTCCTGTTGTTTGATCGCCTGCCAATCCCAATCATAGGTGTCCTTTTAGGGGACATAGATGGCCCTGGTAGATGATTAAACCACCAGGTACACCAGGGCCATCTATTTTTTCTACCAAAACAACCAAAAAGGACACCTTTGCTGCCAATGCCTGTGTCTTTTGTGTTGAGGCTGCCCCATAGATTCTCTAAAGGGAAACTTCCGTTTGCTTAAGTCCCTGCAAAAAATGGAAATATGTCCAGTGGTGATGGATTCCCTTTAAAACCAAGAGAGGGGGAAAAAACTACTCTTAAGCAAATGGAAGGACACCAGCAGAAAACCACACATTTTGGGGATGCCCCTAACTTAAGACACACCCGAATAAACCCCAACGTGTCGATCTTTTTGGGGAACCCGTTTTTTTTTTTTGTTTGTTTCGGTCCAAACCCCTTTCACACAGACCGAGCCATCGCAAGTCCTGGAGGAGTTCGTCCAAACCGCAGCCCCAGTGTTCCTCCACCTGCAACAGGGACCCGGTCCCTTTTGAGGAAATTGGTCCGGGACGTTCCCATTCGCCATCCAATCAGTGCTGCCTCTGGAAAACCGAAACGAGCAGATTCCTCTAGTTTGATTCCTCCGCTTTGATGCAAAATCAAACTGCTGAATCCGCAGCTTTGGGGGGGGGGGTGCAATTCACCTCTTGTTTAAACCATGGCTTTAGGTATCGTTTCAACAACCTTTAAAGAGAATTGCCTTGGTTTCAAGCTTCACCACCATTCAAGCGTCGACTACTGCTTAAGCAACCTCCTTTTGCTTGCGTGTGTGTTGTTTGGTTGCTTTTTTTTTAGGGGAGGGGGGGGGGGGGGTGGGGGTGTCCTGGGAGTTTTGGGTAGCTTTTGGTGTGGGTTGACACGCAAAGGGCCTGCTTGAAACGCACCAGAAGCTTCATCCTCGCCGCCATCGTGATGCGAGCTCTATCTTTGACACCTGCACAGCGGCCATGACACGGTTGCTTCTCAACAACTCCATATTGGACCCCCTTTTGGTATTAATGGGAAGCCAAAAGGAAACCGAGGCACCATTTTAGGGTACTAATTCCTATTTTGAGAAACACCCAAATGTACAAGTAGAAGTGAAGGTGAAGGATCTGAGGGGGGGTTTACAAGGCATAGGGAACATGACTTCCATCCGGGCCAGTTGGTTGCCAATGGAATCCCAGGGTCACGCGTCCGAGAAAGAACATGGAACCCAAGGCTCTTTTCAGAGGCCTGGATCGATTCCAGAAATATATATATATATATACATATGGGGGAGCTTAAAAGGGTTCCATGGTCGTTTTTCCCGCAAAAGATATCCTCACCAAGCCGCAAGCCCTTTAAAAAAAAATGGGTGTGCCTTGTTTTAGGGGACCCCAAAAAATGGTCAGTTTGATTTTGGTGTCCCTTTATATAACCCCCCCCCCCCAAAAAAAAAAAAAGAAGAAGAAAAGACACGCCCACATGATGACATCACTGTTCATTCAACCAGACTCCTTTGCGGTTCAGCGGAGAAAAGAAAAAAGGAGAAACAAAACAACCTTCAGCGGATCTGGTGAGAAACACAACACCTTGGGGTCCGTGAGCCAAATCGTGGGCCTGACACGAGCTCCTCATCCGCAAGTCGCAAGTGTACCTGTCAACTCACTGGGCTCGACTTCAGGGACTTCTGCAGGATCTCGTGGTTGGGGAGACCAACAGTCTGGGGGAAAATCTAGGATTCCTTCTCCCTTTTTCGCCGGAGACGAGGGGGGGAGATTTGACCCTGCTCCAAGGCAGCCCAACTCCCCTAAGATCCCCCAGCCGCCAAAGTCTGATCTGGCCTGGCCTTATTTCCTGCTATGCCGCCAAGGCTTTTAAGCCCCTGACCTTGGGGGGAGTCTTTGGAGAGGAGGCGGGGCCGAAAGGGCCCTGATGTCTGCTTGCATCCAGGAATCAAATGCCCTAAGTAGAAGCAACAATGCCCTAACTTGACTCGCGCACGCAGTACCAAAAGCAGCCCCGGGTCCTTCCATGCCCTTGCCATCCTACTGGAGCCCCAAAAAATGGCTGGTTCCTTTTGGTGTCCAGTTGGAGTCCCTTAAAACTCACCAAAAAGGGGTCTCCAAGAACAAAAAGGCACATAATATCGATGTTCAAGTGTCAGGAATGTTAACATCTACCGGAGATGCTAATGAAGCGTTGCTGTTGGAAGATCTTGCTATACAAATCAGTTATGTATTAAAAAAAAAAAAAAAAAAAACCCTGTTGTATGCTCCTCTGGTTTTTTAAGGGTGGTTCATGGTGGTTCCCTTGATTCCCTACTATAAGGGTAACCGGGATCCTCTGAGGAAGCCTACCTAAAACGCCAAAGGTGGCAAGCGTCGAAAACAGGCGGAAAGGGGGGACTGCTCGCCTTGGTGCTTCCAGCTGCCAGCGCCAGCAGCTGCCAAACTCCTCAGCCGCTTCGGCGCAGATGCGACATCGCTCAAGTTGCGCCCCCGCCTCCATCGTCGCCTGCGGCTCCTGGTGCCTCGCTGCAGCGGGCGTGTCTCGCTGAATGGATGTGGAACTTCCAATCAGGGCGTGTCCCTTCTTGCCCTTTGAAGCAACCACAAAAGAAGGTACGCCCTCAAAGAAGACACGTCCAACTGGCACAGCAGGCAGTAAAAACAATGCACGTCATGTTCCCTTTCCCGGTGGCTTCCTGTTGCTTCAATCTGGAACAAACCTGAGCCAACACAAGGCTGTATGCCGCGACAGCTTTCACGTCGACACCCTGGAAAGGCGTCCATGGCAAACTCCTTATGTCGGCCATACGGTCTGGCGTCTGTGCGGTTGCAATCGGCCATGGTCATGGTTCCCTCAACGGGAAATCCTTATATATCATTGACTAAACTCCAAGCAACCGCAAGTGAGCAGCGCCCAACACCCATAGACTTTGGTTCTACCAGCATGGTCATGAAGGTTTATATAGGCCAATAAAAGAAAGAAAGTAGGGACCAAATGACCTACTACACTCCTGCAAATGCATTATGAAACAAGAAACCAGGATTTTGGAGCCTCCTTTTCGGGGTATTCTCTCAGGGCTTTGACCATACAAGAGGGCTTCCACTACTAACCCCAGGGATGGAAGCCGTCAAAGGGATTCGGACCCAAAAAACGATGTGTATTCCTGTTGGCTCCCGTTTCAAACCAACCCCAGGGGCTCCTCCACAAAAACACCAACTCCACATGAGTCACGCTCAAACCCCCGCGATTCATGGCCGGCAAGGGGATTGCCGCTTAAGCTTCATCTACCCGAATCCGTTTTGAGCAAGTGAGTGACATCCACAGGTCTTCTCAAGCTCCGCACCGCCAGTTTTTTGTGCGGCCAGGCCTTCAGCCCTGGGGCAAAAGCAGCCACGATGACCACCTGGGGGGCTGCTTGGGGCGGATGGGCGGCTGGGGGCGGATTGGAAGGCCATGAAGGGATCCCCTGTGCGTTTTCTTTTCTCAAACAGCCGCAGTCTCCCTTGGTTGGTGGTTTGGATTGGTTTGAGTTGGTTTGGATTGGTTTTGGAGATTGGAATCCCCTTGTTCTTGAGCGAGCTGGGAAACTGCCCAACATCCAAACCAACGGGCTCCAAACCACCCAGGGAAGCTAAGAATCCCAAGACGGTCCCCCTTTGTGGGAGTAATAAGACCCACCCAAGGGTTGAAGGAAGCCAAAAGAAAGCCTTTCGTTGGAAGTCCCCCCCCATGCGAGTTTTGCCTCAAAATGAGGAGCCCCTCTCCACCCAAAGAAAACAATGTTGGCTTCCCTTCAGGCTTCCAACAAACCCGGACAAGGGTTCCCTCCAAAAAACACGTCCAGTTTGAGACCCCCCCAAAACCCCTCTCCCGCGTCGCACCCATTCCGCGCCCGTTGAAAACCACGCGCCTGCGCCAGCATCTGCCTCCATTTCTTCACCGCCATCGCGACCTTCGACTTCCTCCGGAGCGAAGGTGGAGTGGTCCAGCCTGGACCCTGGTCCAAGAAACACCACACGGAGTTTCGGACAATAAAGGCGTTTGAACAAGGGGCTGAATTGCCCTCTGGCAAAACGAACTCAAAGCAGCCCATATGGGTTCTCTCTCGTTTTCTCTGCTCAGGTGTCCGCCACTCCTCGCCACCTCCTCTCTTAGCTGGGCAGCCGCTTGCTCCCACTCCTTCCTCAGAGCCGCCAAAAATGGCAGACTGAATCCCGTCTTGAACTCTGCTTTCCGCGCGAAAGCGCATTCCAAGTAATAGGTAGGTCGCCTTAGACCAATCGCAAGGAAGTAGGTCTGAAAGCTGCCAAGGAGCATCTCTACGTCAATCTTGGCTTGCCTATCGGCATGCAAGGGCTGTGGGAGTCACATCATCTTCGGCACAGTTCAAAAGGCAAATGCAATTTTGGTTAGGAAAGAGGAAAGAGCACCCAAATTGAATCCTTTGCGAAATGTTGGGATCTCTGACCACTTGCGCAAGGAACGTGCAGGGCACACCTTTCCAAATGGGGGTCTTCTCAAAATAGTTAGCCCAAACAATTGTTTAGTTTACTTTTGGCTTCCTCCAAAGTCCGCCATTTTGAGAAACATACAAATTGAACCAGTCTTGGCACCAAATTTGCTTGAACAGCCTGGCGACTACTGTCTGTGCCTTTGCCGCTCCCGATCTTCGTGCCAAAGACGGCGCTCATCCACCAGCTGGGTCAATCGGCCTCGAATCGGTCGACGTGCCCCTTGCTGGGAGAGGCTCACAAGGGGTATGGTTGGGGCGAATGATCAAACCTTGCCCGCATACGCTGCTTCCAAAAGGGGTCTGTACATACTATGCCCTTGCCTCCCCAAATGGCCATGAACATCCCAATCCCCACTAAAATAGACTACTGGGTGGTGCACCTGCCCCAAATGGTACCACTGGTTTTGACCGCCAAATGTCTTGAGGGAGCTCGGAAAGAGACCAGGCTCCCATCGCTCGGCCGCAGGCTGCGATTGACAGGTCGCTTGGAGGTTGCCACCTGCACCGGTTACGACAGCGCCAAAAGGGCTCCCTTCGGTTGCCACGCAACTTAAACCCAGTTGAGTCACTTGCTCAAAACCCTTTGTACTAAAATGGTCTACCCAGAACCACGTAAAGAATTAAGAAGGCGGCTGCAGCTATTTATGGTTGGGATTGTCCCTTGCTAACCTTCATCTACCCAGGTTTTGATTGTGGCTCAGTTGAGTACGCTTTAAAATAGCGATTGGGACCCACGCTTGTGACGGATTTCCGTTTAGCTTACCCACCAAACCGGAACAGGCTGCCCTTGAAAACAACACACGCCCAGTTGTTGTACTGGCGTCATCCTGGGGCTTCAGGGTCAAAATGGCTTCTGCCAGTCGTGAGTGAGCTCGCCTCTTCCACCTCTTTGGTCGCAGGCTTCTGTGCCAGTCGATCAATGTACTGCGCGGCGGAAAAGAAGCACATCGGGTTGCAAGTAGCAAGGTGGGTTTGTCTAACTGGCTTCAGCGCGACTCACATTTTGTGGCCTAAGGGGGTTTACCCCCAACAGGGGTTCAAACCCGGGGTGCATTTGATTGAGTTCCCCAGGCAAGACTTCAACCGGGTTTCCCTTTGGGTTTTCCTAAACCTCAAAAAGTTTAAACCTTTAAACCCGTCCAGTTGGTTGATTTCCCCCAAAGACTCAAACCTGGTGGTGCCAATTCACAGGCTCTGCCCATTTGGCTGTGGGTCAAAAATTAGGTACCCAAAATAGAACCCTGGTAAATGGAAACATGGACGATTTAACCTGCTGTCCGATTCCTAGTGGTTTAATTTCGACCCACGCCCATTTCCTGTAATCCCGCGGTCTTCCAAGCCGCACCGAAACCGCACCGTCCTCGGGGTCGTGAGTCCGTGCAGGCTTGATGGACGGAGGCTCCGAGGCCTGGCGATGATTCTCAACGTGCTGAATAAGACAAGGTTGGGTTTATATTGTGATATTCAGCATGATACTGAGTGATATTCATTAATCAATATTCAGCTGATTTGGGTCAGTATTGTTTAATGAATCACGTTTAAAGAGACACCAACAAAAAGGAATTTCAGGGGCGGGGGGCCTTGTCGACTCACTGTGTCAACGAACGAACGAATCCGGGTCTGCGAGCACTGTGCGCGCGACCTTTAGGGAGTTTGGGGGTGGCCAAATGGCGCGTCAATATCGTTTAAGGGAACCCTTGTTGATCCACTTTTAAAGAGACACCAAAAGGGAAATTTCGGGGGGGAGGGGGGGGGCATATAGATCCGACAAGAAGTTCGGCCAAACCAGGTAAAACCCGTTTTTCCTCAACCGGACACCCAGGTCTGGGCCATTCTCCTCTGCTCAGGGGCCATGCTGGTTGTTGAAGGAGGGGAAGTGACGTGGTTTTTAAAGATTTACATGGGTACGGGCCAAAATTCGACCACCAGGGGACCACAGGTTTAGTCCTTGGTTCCATTCAACACGGCTCCATTTTGGGTACCTATTTCTGACCCACAGTGGGGCACTTGTCTCAGGAAAACCAAAGGAAAGCCACCTTTCAGGGGTGTGCCCCAATTTTGACACGGACCATGGACTTTACCCTTCCACCAACTAACATGGAAGTGCACAGTCTGCCTCTTTCCAAGAGGCAAGTAGCCGTCCCTGCAGTTCCATGTTAATCGGGAGGGTAACGACAACCCCCATAAAACCAAGCAGCGGAATTTTGTGGCTACCTGAGGTGAATTACTTCATCCTGCCATGCCCTTAAGTTGATCTTGCATGATGCCACACATGCCAGAAGTGTTGGCCACACCTGGCTGTGGCTCAAAAAACCGGTACCAAAATGGAACCTTGGTAAGTGGACACATGGACCAAAATCGCGTAACCCCTCCAGTTTAATTTTGAGCCACAGCCACCTGAATCCATGGCCATTTGAAGCCTCCTTTGGTTTCGCCTGCGTGTCTCACAATTGGGTACCTCTGGCCTCATGGTGATGCGTTCAAAAAAATGATCGTGACCATTCGTGACCCCTGCTGTAGCCTGGGGGCCAACAAAAAGCCTGCCACTCAGTGGCCATGGGTCAAAATCCCGTACCCCCAGTGAACATCCCAATCCCCACTAAAATAGACGAATGGGTGGTGCACCTACCCCAAAAATGGGATCCCATTGGTTTTGACAACCACAGCCAGTGTCAGCTTCTGGCCAGACAATGCCAAGCCGTGAGCCCCCACTCGGCCTCCCGCCGAGCAGTCTCCCGACGCACGGCGTCCTCCGGAGCTGGGTGGCTTGGGCGTCTCCAAGAATGGAGGGGGGGGGGGTTCTAACAAAGGAACCCTTTCGAAAATCAACTCCTCAGGTTCACTTTCCTGGAGGAGCCCTTCAAAAACACTGTCCTCGTAGAGGGACAAGTGGATCGGCGCGCCGTGGGCGACTGGCCTGGCAAGCTCGTCGCGTCCAGAACGACCGTTCCTCCACTTAAGTGCAGTGACCGACTTCCTTGTCAAAAGGGGACTGCGCTTCCGTATTTGCCTGGGTTATCTTTATATCTGCAAAATCTCTCCTCCTGGCATATTGTGGGTGTCTCAAGCATCTCCTGCTGGTGTGCTTCTCCCTGTCAGGATCTTTGCAGCATGTTGACATCTCACTGCTGAGCGAGCCCCCTGTTGTACCGCAACTGGGGCAACATGTGGCTTGAGTTGGCAACAAAAGCACCATGGCTTGTTGCGTGGTACCCCTTTCTGAAGTTGCGGATGGCTGCACTCGAACAGCAAGATCTTCTTTGCACTACGTGAAACGCAATGCCTTCATGGGGGCTCACTCCTGGTTTAACTAAGCAAGGGTTTAAACAAAAAAGCACGCTGGAGCCTCAATGAATCCTACTTAAGGATGCAGTGTATTTAGTACGTGGATAGTAACATTGGTCATATCCCCCTACCTGCCATAAGCCCCTGAGTGGGCTCTGACCGGTGTTGCTGACCACTTCGTCGATACCGCGCTTCCTTAAGAAGGGCTCCCTTTTGCCTAGCCCCCGGACCCACCCCTCAAGGTTTCCACCAAAACATGTGAGCCACTTTCAAAATATCCGGTCACCGAGATGTATTGAGTCCCCGGGTTTTTGTGAGTCCCCAGGCCCTGTTTGCAAAGGAACTTCTACAAGGGTGGCCTAAATTCCCAATCAGGTCGGAGGATTTATGTCCAGCCAACATGGTTGAGGGTTATCCAACCATTAAAGCTCACAGACAAATGTATGCAAACCTCGATTTTCTTAATGCAAACCCTTTCAACGTTTGCCTGAAAACCCGAATACAGGATTGAGGACCATCCCTATAAACCCCAAGCAAATGGTTGTTGTGACCATGGCACAAATGGATCAAAGACACATATGATTCACGGTGAAAGTTATTGTTGCCCCTGCAGGGCATGGGAAATTTAGGGTTCGTCCCCGGGTTGTCGGAATTGTAGAGCTCGTCCGACTCGTCCCCCATGTCCCGATCCGAAATGGGCCACAGACTTTTTGGTATCCACTTGAACTGATGGCAAAGATCACACGGACAGATCTTTGACAACCCCCTGCCAGCTAAGTTTGACGCAACCTCGTGTGTGTGTGTGTGTGGGGGTTTCGGTTCTGCTCTTGGTTTCCCTTAAAAAAAAAGAACCCTGAAAACAGAGAGACCCATTTTTTAGGTTTGTCTTTTTGTAGGGGAACCTCCAAAATGATTAACACCACACAAAAACACGGGGTACCAACTAAAAAAAAAGATACCCCCACCCATGGTTTGTCGGTGAACCCCGGTGATTCAACACTCTCAGCCTGGGCGAGTCCGGTGGCTCCGGGGAAGCCTTCTGCCGCAACATCGCCTCTCCGGCGCAGCAAGAAGGCGACGGCACGGTTGGCCAAGGATGGCTCAAGTGTGTTTTCTCTTTGCCGAAATCATGTGAATTATTCTGGGCTGTTTATCGGGAGATGGGCAAGCAATGTCCGGATAATCAAAGGATCAGAAACGGGAACTCTGTCCCTGTTCTTGAGCAACCCGACCTTGAAAAATATGTCGTGTTGTTTTCGTTTGCCCTGTGGGGCATCTTCTCAGCACCATACTGCTGCAATCTGCTGCAATCTGCTTAACCACTTCCAAGGTACCGGTGCAGTCACCTAAATCGGGCCCTTGCCACTCTTTTCCGGTTGAAGCCCAATGGGCTGGTCGTGCATAGTCCCGCCGAACCACGAGAACAAGGTCTGAGGGAGCGGCTCCCGGGGGCGGGGGGGGGCGAGTCGATGGTGGGCCCCCCAAAAACACGTTGCGCTGGGCTGGTTTGTCCTTTGGGCAACCTTGAAACTGCATTAAGTGACGACAGGAACAAAAGGTCCGCAGCTCTTCTTGGTTCTGGGAAGCAGCCCTTTCTGTGAAATCAAAATTGGGGCATCCCGTCAGCCCCCGGTCCTCCACCTTCTTCTCTTGCTCCTCGCGAAGTCGCTGGAAGACCTCGAGCATGGGACGCCCGACGGCGGTATTCCCTTGGCTCACAGAAAGTGGACCCCCCGAAAACACGAAGCATGTGAAACATGTGAGCCATGTGAGCCATGTGCCATTTGACCCACAAAATGGGTGTGTCTCGAACTGGGAACACGGAACATCCAGTCTGAAAGGGTGAAAAAGGGCTGGAGGGGGGGGGAAAAGCTGTCAAGACCTGGGCTTTGCGGAGCTTCAGCAGCTTGGAGTGTGGTTTTTTGAGGGGTACCAGGGAACACCATGATTTGTGGGAGTGCTCTTACTTTGACACGTACTCAAATTGGATTCTCTGATAAAGAAAGCCATATGAGAATGCTGCAGTAGAGGCCAAAACATGTAGAATTCAACTACCCATCACGAGGAACCACCACAAACCACCAACCAACTACCACCAACCACCAACCAATCCAACCAACTGATCTCTATGTGCTAAATATGGCATGGGCAAATCTCTCTGTCTCTCTCTCTCTCTCTCTCTCTCTCCGAATGGGTGAAACCCAACCAAAACGGGTGGGTTTCTTTCCAGCGGTTCTAAGCTTGAAACAGAAAAGAAAAAACATAGCAGGTACACAGCACAGACAAAGACCCGCACAAAAAAGATAAAAGGCTCAAGGAATATGGCTGACTCTCAGGATCCCCAAAATGAGCTTGACACCTGCAAACTGATGTTCCCAATCTAATCGCCCAATCCTTCTTTTTGAGCCGCTCAGCTTCCCTGGGTTTGTCGTGGCATTTTCTGACAAATGGTTGGGACGTCTAGCTAGAATCGTGGATATGCGTTGTGCCAACAAAACGGGCTTGACATCTGGACCTCATAACATGTGCTATCTTGCCTCTTGCTGTTGCCTTCAATCTTTGGACTGAAAGGTGGGGGTATCCCGTTGTCATGGCAGTGGCAATGAATTCACCGAGATGCGGCAGGAGTCTCGGTCCACACTCTCCGCAATCTCTGGACGCGCTCGCCTGACGCGAACCGGGCACGAAACTCAACTCCTCACATGGCCTCATGGCCGTAGCTCGGCGGTTTGGGGAGGGTGGATCCCACGAGAAGAATGACCCCTCCCCCCTCCCCAGCCTTTGGCGTCCTTGCCCTTGCCGGAGCCTTTCTCCGCTTCGTCTTTCGCCTTGCCTGGCAGGACAAAACCCGGGAGGCAGAATCACTTAGCCTACCCGACCAATGGGTTTTAGTTCGCACACCAAAACGGAGGGAGTTGTCAACCAGGAAATGGGTGGGCCACTCTTGAGCTTCCATGTGCAAACTGATTGCTACTGCTCCCCCCCGCCCCCAGAAGGGTGTCATCCCGAGCCTGAAACCCGGATGCACAGGAGGTGCTTGCAAGATGGACCCTAAGGCCCTAAGTGTCCACAATACCTTCCAATAAAAGAAAAGGTGGAGAAAATGCCAATCCAGCGGTAGACGATGTTTACATAATACAACACCACCGGGACCAAAGAGCTAAAAATCGCAAGTGGGGTTTGTCTCATTTTCGGCGATCCCTCCAACAATCTGCCGTTTCCTTTTGGATTTCAATCTGCCGTTCCCTTTGGAGTTCGGTGTAAATCAACCACTGTTGGCTACCCTCCCAACATGTTTGCCGTTTCCTTCTCGCTTCCCCAAGAAATCAACCACCGAAAAATTAAGGGGATTACCCTCAAGAAATCCCGGGCTGTGAGGGGTCTACCTTTTTATTATTATTATTATCATTTTCGAGTTTGCATTTGAGTTCCATCGGTTTCCATTTGGTTTCCTTTTTTTCTTTTTCCTTTTTCCTTTTTCTTCTTTTCGGGTTCGTTGAAAGAGAAGCCAACTGGGCACCCGCGGGCCTTCGGCTGCCAGCGCCTCCAGATCCTCGGGCCGCGCGGCCACCGTGTAGAGCCACCTGGCGAAACGGATCGAAAACGCCCGGCAAGCGGAGAAGCCGAGAAGCCGAGGCCGTCTGAGTCGCGATCCATCTGACCCGGGAAAACTGGGTGGTCTTAATACTTAACCCCTGGCTTTTGTGACATTTGGGTGAGCCCCTGGGAAGCCCCTGGGAAACCAAAGCGTCCATTGAGGAAATGGGTGACCAAACCCAGCCATGCCCAAAAAGGGCGCCGACTGGGATCCGGAAACCTCCAAATGAGTCGCAATCAAAACCGATCGGTTCTAGAATGGTCGATACCCAGAACCATGTACAGGATTAAGAAGGCAGATATCCGCAGCTATTTATGGCAAGGGGATCGTCCCCTAACCTTCATCTACCCTGGCTCATCTGGGGTACACCGAAACAACATGCCCAGCCACCCCCTGCTTGGGCAGCTAAACCAACTTAGGTAGGTTGTTTGCCATAGTTGTAGGGGACTCACCCCAAGTTACCAACCACTTACAACCATGGTTGTAACCTACTTATTATACTAACTTCGCCGAACACGCAAGTAGTTGCACCAGTTGGCATGGATGCCCGAACAAGAAATACAGGCTGACAAATCACCCATCAAGTCTATGCACAGTGCTTCAAGCCTGAATTGGCGATCTGGATTGGAGGCTTGGTGCTTTAAACAAGCTACAAAAACCAAACAATACTGCGGATGGACGCAACATCAGCGACCCTCGTGGTGGCTTGGAGCCTGGTCCCGGTGGCTTCTCATCGTACTCTTTGGGGTCCCTCCTTCTCACCACAAAGTAAACATAGCTGCACCCCAACTGGTGATTTGGTGCCCGGTGGTGGTTCCCAGTTGCCCTCTACAAGAACCAAGGGTTCCAATCCCCAAATCACCAATCCAAACCACCAAAAAAAGGCTTGCCTGAAACACCGCAGATGGACGTGCTAGGTGGTTTGTCAACGAGTATTTCTAGGGTGTCATCCATCCCTAGTGCGAAATGGATGTTTTGCCCATCCACATGTCTAGCTCTGTGTCATGTGCGGTCTACCCTAACATATGAACTAACTTTCGAGGAGAGCCCCGAAGTTTAACTATCTGTCATTCATGTATCTTCAAGAAAACCCATCACTTGATCCATCGTCCTTTTGCGGCAAACAAACATACAACGACAGACCGGTTGGGCTACGTCTTCCTTTGGCGGCTCCTTTGCGCATTGATCACAACTGCCCCGGAGTACTCAGCACCACTTTGGTCATGTTCAAAAACTGGTCTTTTGCCGCACCCAAGGGGACCGTCATCTACGCTTCTGACTGCGGCTTGCTTCATGCGAAGATGGATGAGGTTGAACCAGGGCGGTCGCGCTTCAAAGCATCCACCTTGACCTGAGAGGAAGTGTGGTCAAATGGACACAACAGTGGCAGACCTGGGTGATGACAAACCTACAAGAAACAAGGGGATCAGTCCGACGGTTGACGCTCTTCATGCCAATGTGTGCCAAGGTCAAAGCGTATGGGGGGCATTGTTCCCTGAATAGGAACTCTTACAAAGGTTGCCTAAATTCCTTATCAAACAAGTTGATGACCCCCCCCAACACCAAGAGGTCCTTTTACCTGGGCACATCTGAGTCCTCATTCGAGAAAACCCGAGGCTGGTGCAGCGGTATTGGCTGCGTGGTGGAATTGCCCACACATGCCTCCGATCCGATCCAAGTGTGCCATGGAATTGCTCAAACGCCCCAACAACAGAGCTCAAACAAAATGCTCCCTTGGCATGCCAGGCATGTTTGTTTATGCCCCAACAGAGCTAGCATCTATGACACTCACGTCTCATGTATGTTCTTGCTTGGGGATTGCTTTGGTCGAGATGTTTGGGGACTTATGTTCTTGATGCTCGGTGTGGAGCGGGGCTCCCCGTCAAACCAAAACCAAAACGCACATAGCAACTCATCATGCGTAGATGTTTTGGATTGGCAACCTTCAGCTCGTTCAAGAACTCAGGCCTGAAACTTTCAGACAAGACAGCGCTGCGATTTCTTCAATGCCCATCTCGCACACCCCAAAACGTGAAAAGCACCAACTTGGAGCAAAACTGCAGGCATTTCCCTGCGAGCCTGATTGCCCATGGCACAGCATCTCGAAAAGATGCGGAGCCTGGCGCACAGCGAAGACTATGACACACTCAGGATCAGCCTGAGGTGATTTTACCCTGTTTCCACTCCTGAAAGTAGACAGGAGACCTTTTTGAGACGGCGGTAATAATCGTTGAGAGTAAATGACATGTGCCTCCCAAATGTGATTTGGATCAGATGGGACTCAGGGAACTCTGAGCCTCCAAAGCTTTGGGATATGTTTGTGGTTTAAACCTCAAATGCCCAAAGGACCTGAAACCAGAAGGACGTCCTTTTTGGGACCTTGCCAAAACGTCAATTTTCGGACACCTGATACTGCGTCCTTTTGAGGTCCTGGGCGAAAAAGAGAAGCTTCCATCGAGGAAATGGGTGACCAAACCCAGCCAGGGCTGCCCAAAACAAAAAGGGCGCCGACTGGGATTCCGGAAACCTCCAAATGAGTCGCAATCAAAACCGATCGGTACTAAAATGGTCTACCCAGAACCATGTACAGGATTAAGAAGGCGGATATCCGCAACTATTTATGGCAAGGGGGTCCTTACTAACCTAACCATTCAATTGGAGTCTCCTTCTGACCCTTTCAATCTGGGTCAATGACCCCATTACTTTGGGCAATGACCAACCTCTTATTAAGGGTCAGAAGGAGACTCCGGGTCCCCGGGTTTTGAGCAAGTGGCTCAAATGCCAACGCCCAGGCCGGGGGCCTCTGCCGGCGGCGCAAGCTTCTGCACCACCACTGCGCAGCAGAACTCGTGACGCGACAGCCTTGCCAGGGGGAAAAATGGGGTTGGCCAAACAAAACGGGGGGGTTCAACAAAAAACTACACTCCCTCAGACTAACATACCATCATGGAAGCTCCCAGGACCCCTTTGGAAGACTTGGTTCCATTTGCAGGGGCCTTCTGAGAGCTTCCATGGCCTGAGGGAGTGTATCTCTCTGCCAAAATGGGGCCTTGCTTTTGGTCTGGTGCAAGAGCTAATGTGCTGAATGGCCAAAACGCGTCTGTTGAGGAGCCTGCAAAGCAATCGGAGGGCCTTTTTGGACCTGGTGTCATTGCGTTCTGCCTTCAAGGGGCTACAAAAAGGGCTGTCCAATGGAACCCCCAATATCGGTTCCCGGGTCCATTTTGGCTTCCCTCAAGCAAAACCCCAAAGAGGATACCCTTAAAAGGAAAACACGGGAGCCAGGATCAAAACTTGTTTTGATGGCGCATTGTGGCTGTCTCAAAGTTAGGACCCCTCCCCACTCCTCCCCCCCTCTCCCGCACAAAACTCAAAATCGAAAAAATTGGGGCGCCCCTTTAAAGCCAACCCAAAAAAGGTTACCAACTCAAGAACACACCCATGGCTCAATGCAGGGCTTCGGGAACCGCAACGTCTCCAATCGCTACCCCACAAGGGTACCACCAAGTCCAAGGAAAAAACCCTGACGCGGCTTCACTGGCAGAAGACTTGAGGTATCTTTGCGGAGTTATAGGCAGATTGGCTTGGCGTCTTGTTTGGGAGTCGTTTGTCCTGGCAAAGGATATGATATGAATCAAAGACTCCAAAGCAACGCCCGACTGTTTCGGGGGCTTGGACTGTGAAAATCCGCCTCTTGGTGCGGGTGCCAACTCTATATCGAAGCGGTTACACCGGCTCAACGCACCCCGCAAGAAAAGTGTCCACTGAACATGAATAATTGAGTTGTTACCCTTCATATTTGTGTTTGTCTGGTACACTGCACTACCTTGGGGTGGTTTGGGGTACCTTTATATGCGTGTCTTTTCTTGAGGGCGCCCCCTTGTTTGCTGGGTTTTAAGGGGAAACCAAAAGGAAAACCGTAATTTTAGGGGAAGCAGTTCAACCTTAAAAACGACACAGCCACTGTCCAGCCCTTGGTCTGGTAGCAAACAACGTTCTGTTTTAGGAGACCCATACTAAAAATGAAGAGAACCAAAAAAACATGCCAACAGCGAAGCAAATAGATGTTTCTCAAAATAGGAGACGCCTACAAAGGACTGGCTTCCTTTTGGTGTCCCTTTAACCAAGCGAAAAGGGGGGGGCGTCCTCTTTGAGAAACCCCATGCGCCAATTCGCTTCTCAGCTTGACTCGAGCTCCGCTCCGCCTGTAGGAGCGATCCAGGTCCAGGACACGGAGCATCGCCGCAGCCACCAGATCCGGAACTGCCAATGCCGGGGCCGTTTTTTGGGGTGTGGGTCAATTTGTCCATCAAGGAATTGGGCCGCAGGTTGCCCATGCTTCCATTTACCGGAAGTTTACCTGTTGGGTCATTGCCTCTGGTCGGTCCATATGGTTCAAAGGCCACAAATTGGGGGACCGGTTCCGTGGATGTTTTTCAACTTCGGCTTTTCTTCGAAACCGTCCAAAACCTAAAAAGGGGCGACAGGCGCTTTCAAGGGGCCAAAATTCCACCTGAATGCTCCCCAACCGAGGGTGCACGGTTGCCAGGAGCTGAAAGAGTGTTGACACAATGCTCAGAGTGCGAAGGGGATGGGCTTCTTTGCGAGGGTACGCTTTTTGAGCCTTGCTTGAAGGGAAACCAAAAGGAAACCGTCATTTTTGGGGTCCCCCAACGAGCGCAAGAATTCGTGGAATCCGCCAAAACGTCTGCGCATGCTGCGTGTGACTGTTTCTGGGTGGCTTGATCCGGTTGCTCAGGGGATTCACAGGCTCTCATGATGAGGTTCCGATCGCCACCGAAGCATCATGCATCCAAGCACCCGCAACAAGGGAACCACTTCGGTCACCCAACTTGGAGTTCCTCTCGCAGCCAAAAAGGGAGGGCCCTGCTGTGCATGGTTGAAATCGAAATCCATTTCGCACCACCGAACTCAGAAACCCTAGTGTCTGATTCGATTCCCCTGCAAATAACAACAAACAATAGTTTCAACCATGGCTTCATTTCGTGGTGCGGTCTCGGACGTTGTCCATCCACCGTATTCTTCCATTTGGTTAAGACCCCTGGAAAAAAGGGGGGGAAAACATGTTTCGCGTAGTGATAGCTTTCCTTTAAAACCAACATGGAAAAACTATTAAGCAAATGGAAGCATTTCGAGACCTTCCCAGTCGCTTCGCTTCGTTTTTTTTCCGCCTTCGGTGCTGCTGTACTTCTTGGGGAAGCCCAGCTCCAGCGCCCGCGCCAGAAGCGCGGCCCGGAACCGCATCAGGATCTCCTGCGACCCCTCCCTTTGCGCGAGGCGGGGTGAAATTTGATCAAAGTCTGCTGGAAAGGAGATATGGCTATGGGTCAGAAACCCGCACCCCCAGTGAACTCCCAATCCCCACTAAAATAGACCCAAAATGGTACCATTGGTGTTGACCCACAGCCATATGGACCCAAGATTTGTCTCTGATAACCTGGTTGGGAACACAAAGGGGGGGGAATGCGGAACCCCCCGCCCCCCGTTTTGCGGGGCCAGAAGAATTTGCGAGCCGCAAAAAGCGAGCGGCTGGCTTGAAAAGAAGCAATCCAGACAACGGGAAGTGACAATGTAAGCTAAGTCTGGCTAGGGAAAGACGCTGTCTTGACCACTGGCAAAGTGGTACATGTTCTTTCCTTACCAAAAAGGAAGGGGAACCTGCACCGGGAACCGGAAGGCGCCGCAAGTCTTTTTCCACGGTTCGGTGTAGGCGAGCAGGATTGGGACTCACATGACAAGGTCTTCAATCAAACTTTCGGTGTCTCTTTGTTTTACAAAAGACCTTGCAAGAATAGGGACCCCCCAAAACTGCTGGCACTACTGGTGTTTGGGCTGAACCAGAAATTTCGCCCGAAAACGAAACCCCAACCCTGCAAGCGGAGTGGTGTGGCCCTGCTTCCATTGCAGACCGTCGGACCGGCGTAGAGCGCTCGCTCCAAAAAACGGGTGACCCGTGACCCCGCCACTCCATGCAGCGTGGTTTTCCTCAACATGGATTTGGGGCCCGGTCTGCTTGTAAAATCACCCCCCCAAAATGGTTTTCGGCGACGTTGTTGGAAAACCCCTTTAAACAATCCGAAAAGGGCACCCTCGAAAACAGACAGATCCATTTTGGAAGAGCCAAGCCTTTTGGTTGGCGTGTTAAGCCAAAAGGAAGCCTACTTTAGCGGGCCAATTCCGTATTCTTTTGAGAAACCCCCGCGTGTGAACTCAAGCATCAAACACCCAGGTGCATGTCACTGCACATGTTAGGCTGCAAGAAAGTCAGTGAGGTGGTCACGCGTAACAACAGTAGCTCGATCTCGAATGGCAGCGCTGTACAAGCTGGCAAACCATGCGTCCCGGTCCAACAACCAATTTGCCTGGATGATGCCGGCGTGAGAACAGACTGAACAAACCCTCGTGCGTAGTGCAAAATGGCTCGACGTTGTGCAGTGGGGAGGAGCAAATTACAGCTCCCCATCTTTGCTCAGGATTCCCTTCAGGATTCTCCAAGCCAAGATTGAAAACAGGGAAAAACCCTTGTAGCGGCAGCGTTCAAGCGGCCACGGTCTTTGATCGTGTCGTTCCCTTCGAGCTTGACACACCTGTGCGGCTGGATCTTAGGGAAACTCCGAAATGGGGATGTGCGTGCTTTGTTTCTGAATGAGATTCTTCATGAGGGACTTGTTGGGGGGGTTAAGGGAACCAAAGGGGAAACCACCAATTTGGAGGGAGCCCTAAGTTTGACACACCAAAAGGTATCTCGGGGTATGAGGGGTCTACCTTCTTCAGATTGGTTGAAAGGGAAACCAACCACTTTCGAGGTTCCCCTACGTTGACACACACCCAAATCGACGCCTGTTCCAAAGGTGATGTTCGAAACCACCCTTCAAAAAATACCATGGGAGTCTTAAAAAGAAGCCTCCCTTTCAAGCAACCTGGACCTGCGGGAAATGTCTGGGTGCTTTAGGAGACCCCTACGATCTTCCGAATTCCAGTGCTTACCCCTTAAAACTCCAAGCCCTGGGGAAGTTAATATTTTACAGACATATAGCCCATGTTACCCCCACAAAGTTGAAAAGTTGTGTTTTTAAGAGGTAAGAGTGGTTTAGCTACAATTTGGGCATAAACACTTACGAACTGCGTCGTTTCCAGTCGTGCATTGGCCATACCAACTCAATACACCACCTCGCAGCACCAGCGCCAGTGAACCCACGATGCCACTGATCGTCAAAACTACGACTTTTCCAGATTTGCTGGAGTTTGCTGGTGTTTGCAAAAGATTTGCGGAAATTTACGGGCGTTGTGCTGGCAAAATGGGCACGTGTTTTCCTGCACCGCACAACTTTGGATCGGCGTTGCTTGTTTTGACAAACTTGCGGGCTGCATTAAGTCGGTGACCCCTGCAAAGTTTCCTGTAATCTGTCAAAGGCCGCGAGCATTGCAATAGTGTATATTTCAGGAGTTTCAGGAGTTTCAGGAGTTTCAGGAGTTCCAGGTTTTTGCGGCAAACAGTGCCATGATTTCCCAAGTATCCAGCCCAAAGGGCGGAAACTACGGTGTTTTTTCAGGAGGACGAAGGTCCAGGACGGAAAAATATGGGTGTCCTTTTGGGGGGAACCCTGTTGGGGTTCTGGAAAAGGGACGGTTTTTTGGGGAGCTCCGTCTGTTGAAAACAAACTCCACATAGGTCCGCCTGATAGAAGCAACCTCTTGAGCTCGCTGATCTCCTCTCTCATGCATGCCTTGGGCCGAAGTGAGATTCGTTTTGAGAGCCAACAAATGGGTGTGTCCCAGGGAACCCCCAAAATGGGTGGTTTCCGGTTGATTTCCCGTCAAACGACCCTAAAAATGGTACCCTCAAAACAAACACTTGAAAGGGAAATAAACTGGACATCTACCAGCAAAGTCTCCAATTCTGAGAAACACCCCGGTTGCCAAACCCTCCCATGCCACCAAGGCCCACGATCCAACGCGTTTCTCCACATGTTCAACCAGTAGATATCAGCGACCAAGCGAAACCTCGCGCTGCCTGCCCCTTTCTGTCGAAACGATATTTCAAACTTCTTCAATGGGAAAGGCGGGTGCTGGTGTGTCTTAAAAATTGGAGGAACCCTTAAAATTGGGCTTCACCTTCCCAAGTCTAAAAAAAATTGCCATTGAGCAAAAGTGTTGAAATCCACCATCGCAGAAGTGTGCCATCTTTTGATTCAGAACCACGGCAACAGCCCTAAGAGTCATAATGGGTGACCCAATAGCTTCCTAGGGTTCTCAAATTTGGCCACCATCCTCCTATGGCTCCCATTGCTAGGGCTCCGAATCAGATGTTCGACAAGAAAGTGGAAAAATTGAGCACAAACCCCAACCAACGTTTTCTACCATAGCTCTGGGATTTACTACTCCAACCGGGGGATGTTCAACTGCATTAAAGTGAAATCCTCAAATTTACCTTCCAAATGGTGGGTTGCAGGGAAACCAGCCAAGGCAATTTTCAGACCCTCTCCAAATGCACTTCACGGGACCTAGTTCAAATCCAGGGAAAGAGCTGCTTTTCTGGTTGAAAAGAATGGCTGGAATCCCCCCTCGAGCTTTGTTACTCTAACTGGGGGACCTAATTCAAATCCTTGGCTTCCATTTGCTCGAGTCCCGGGAAAAAGCAGCAAATGTATCTCCAGTAGTGGTAGATTCCCTTTGAACATATCAAGCAAGTGGAAGCAAAGGTTGGTAAGGAAACTGGGTCGCCAGGTTTAAAACATCCCTACTGATTCACAAACTCCCATTTCGCAGCACAAAATGAAACCATGGGAATGATGGAGGTTTCTTACGCTATTGGAAATATATCCATTTCGCAGTACAAAATAAAAATGGAAATGAAACCATAACGTTTGTGACGTTGCGGTATTTCCCTTGAAAATAGGTACCCAAAATGGAACCCTGGGAAGTGAAAACAAAGACAAAAACCTGCAGTCACCTGGTGGTCTAATTTTGATCCAGATCCATTTCACTTTGGGAAGTCGAATTTCAGCGAAACCATGGGGTGAATCTCGCGCGCGTCCCAGACGCCACGTCCAGACTCTTCGCGGGGCCCTTCAGCCGCCCCACGCCGCGGATCAGCTCCTCCAGCGAGAGCTTGCCATCCCCTCGGCGATCGCCGCGGCCGAGACATCCCACTGGGTTTTTGGGAGGGGCTCATCGGGGTCCGCTTTCTTTCAATGGTTGTTCATGGTTGTTCATGGTGTTTCTTTTCATGGGTTCATGGTTGTTCATGGTTGTTCATGGTTGTTCACTGTTGTTCATGGTTGCTCATGGTTGTTCATGGTTGCTCATGGGTTAAGCAACCAACTTCAGTGAAACAAAGATGGCAGAAAGCCGAAACACTCGCCATGGAAAGGGGTAACCGTCCATTGTAGACAAGGCCAGACTTCATATCCGTCCAGGAAGAAGAAACTTAGTGGAACACCTTATGCTCCTTGGGAAGCCAAATGGATCGACCGGTTTTGTGGGTGGTGCCTTATATGGGTCTGTCACTTTTGGAGTTTCCCCCTTTCTTGGTTGGTTTTAAGGATGACAGTCCTTTTCGCCGGATGTGGCAAGATGACTAAACCATGGCTTGGAATTGTGGCATCCACAATCTGGAGCCCTCAAAACCCGTCAACAATGGGACCTTTCCACATGGGCACGTCGTTCTTGACGGTACCCTACCACTCAACTAGATTTGGGGGTTCCCTCAAAAGAGGACCGCAAAAAACTGGATTTCCTTTGCTGTCCCTTTCAAGTAATCCAAGTGGAAAGGTGCCCCAAAAAAGACCACTTAAGGGGCATGGTACTTAGTAAGTGGCTAGTAAACCTATGGGTTATAACCAGGTATACAAACCACTTACTAAGTACCCGATCGCCTCTGCAAGCACCCATTTGAGGGCTACCTCAGACCAACTGCCAAAGAGCTCTGGCCGGAGTCGATCATAGTGAAGAGCCTCTGCGCATCTGAGACGTCCAGATCCATTGATGACAGCCAAGCGGAGACTTCGCTGTGCGCGGTCATGTGCCGGAACTCTTCCTGACAATCAAAACGAGGTCTACCCTCACTAACATGACACCTGACAGGGAGTCCCTTCAACAAAAATTTGATCTTCCAGACACCCACCCACAGTTGCTATGTTGGTGCGGAGGGGTACCCAAAGCCGTGTTGTTCAGACTCAAAAGGGCCGCAAGAAAAAAGAAAAAAAAGCACCCATTCCACGCGGGTCGCCTTCTCGCACGTCACGATATTC